AAGCCTGGGGTCTGGGCAGGGCTGCAGGCAGGCCGGGCCCCTCACCATCCTTCCGGTAGAAGCAGATTTCAGCCCTGTGCTCCTGATGGCCCTCCAGGGCCTTGTGAAGCCTCTGCAAGGCTGGCTCACTGGTCTCTGGACCGTAGAGGAAACGGCAGCTGCACGTTTTCTGCATGACTTCGGTGCGGCCGTAACCGGTGAGCTCGCAGAAGCCGTCAGAGCAGTAGACGATGGGAAAGCCCCTTGGGCCCTGCGCATTGGCCAGCAGGAAGTTGCTGTCTGTGGGAAGAAGAGGTCCAGATCAGATCAAGGCCACAGGGGGGAACTCAGCTTCTAGGTGGGCTGTTCCTCCCTCCCCCAAGCTGTGGTGAGAGGTGACAGAGCCAGAAGCTTCTCAGGCTTCCATGTGATTCCTGGATCCCCCTTGGGATATTCTGAGAGTACAAAGAGATAGAAGCAAAAGACAAGAACTTAAGGATGGCCTGGAACTGGGACAGGGGCTACTAGGGGATCGAAGAGGAATGCAAAGAATTCATGTGGTTCACGCCCCTGCCTTCAAGCTTATAGGCCCTCACTGTAGGAGGCAGCAACTAGCATGGGGAGTTAGGCTCAGCACCCCACCTCCGCTGCCGACTGACTGTGTTACCTTGGGCACATCAAGTAACTCCTCAGTGTCTCAGCTTCCTTATCTGCAAAGTGGGGGATAAGACCTCTTCCTCACAGGGCTGTTGTGAGAGTTGCATGAGTTACCAGGGGAGAAGCTCTGGCAACACAGTCAGTGCTTCACTGAGAAGGTGAAATGGGACCCCCCCCCCACCAATGTGCACAGCTTTCAAAGCACACCCATAGCCCCTACCCTGTCATCCTGTTAGAGAGTGGACAGGGCAGAGACTGTGGTGATATCACACCCATTTCGCTGATAGGAAACCTGAAGTAGAGATTACACGAACTCACTAATCTCCTTTGTAGGAAGAGGGATACAGAAATGGAGTAGCGTCCCCATCCCCTGCCTTCCAAGAAAGGCCCTCTTTTTAGCATCCCTTTAGCTAATTTCAGGTGGCCTGTCCCCAGTGCTTAAAGTCTGACAGGATTGGGCAGTGAAGTTGTGGCTCCAGCAACCGCAGCAGCAGGGCCCAAGTTGGCTCCTTCCAGTTCCAGTGGGTGGGAGGCCACAGGGGGCTCCGTGGGCCATCCAGGGATAGAGCCGCAGCTGAGGGAAGGGGGCTGAGACACAGCCAGTCCCAGGGCGCTAGGAAGCGTGAGCGTATGAGGGTGGGGTGGCTGAAGGGGACACTGAGGGGGCCTGGGACGTGCTGGGTCCTGGGCAGCGCAGCTTCCTTCTTCCGTCCCAGAGCCCGTTGCCCCGGTGATGGGCGCTATGGAAACAAGGGAGGCGGGTGTGGAAGAAGGGTGGGGAGGAGGGTAGGTCCCCCGGCAGCTCAGTTTCCGTCCTCGAGCACCGCTCCCCGCGTCTTCCAGGTCCCAGCGAGGGTGCCCGAGAGGGGCAGGCAGCGATCTCTAGGCTGCTGAGTAGGAAAAGGGACAGGCAGAAGAGGAGCCGCGGAAGGAGAAGCGTGGCTGTCCAAGGTGCTGAACCTGGAACCCCAGCTGGGGTGGGCGAGCAGGGAGTTGCCTTCCTCACCAGGGCCACCGCCCTCCTCCTGCCCCACCGCCCTCAGACACAGACGCGCCACGATCCTGGGGTGCGTGACCGGAATCCGAACTAGGTCCTGCCGAAGTCTGATCTCTCCCTGCCTCCCTCCCTCCCTCTGTCTTTTCCTGGGGGAAGGGGATGCTGGCGCTGTCTGGGCGCGGACTCCAGAGCGCTGACTGCAGCGTCCGACCTCCGCGTCTCCGATACCGCCCCACAGCCCCTGTCCGAGCTCTGCCCCGGAGCGGGACGCTCCCAAAGCCTCCCCTCCGTGTTGCCGCCCAAGGAGCCTTTCACGCCTCCAGTCCCACCAGTGACCTCGGCTCCCGGCACTCTGGGCTCTCTCCCCGCCTCCCCTCGCAGAGCGCTGCCAGCCCTGTGCCTTCAGCGCGGCTTCGGAAGTTCCTAGACCATCAACTCCACTCTCCTTCTCGCCTCAGGTCTCACCGCATCCGGGAGACCCAAGCTGGCCCCTTCTTGGCGCCCATCTCGAACCCCCAGCCCCAGCCTCGGCCCCACTCACGCGTGCCGTCGAAGCGGGTGGCGATCGTGTCCAGGAAGGTGTTCTGCGGGGCCAGCAACCCCTTCATGACCGGCATGGCCTCAGGCGCGAGTTCGAGGCTTGGCGCTGGGGGGCGTTCACCTCGGCCGGGCCCAAGGGGGCGCGCTGCCGGCGGGGCCGGGGCGCCCCATGCGCTCGCCTGCCTCCTGCCGTCTCTCTAACCGCCGCCGCCTCTCTGCTCCGAATCCCGCAGCTCGGCGCCGCCTTGGTGTTTTTTTTTTCCCTCTAAGGGCCAGATTGTTTCCCCCAGGCTCGGCCTGCGCCCGCCACGTGGCCCCGCACGGGGAGGGGCCACCAGCGATACCCGCACCTCTCTCTGCGGTCCTCCTTCGGAAGGGGAGCGGCCCACGCGAGTCTCTGGTGGAGAGAATTCGGGACACGCCTACCAGGAGCAGAGGCTCTAAGAGGCGGGGCGGGGCTTGAGTGCCAGGTACGCCTCTTCTCGAGAGGCCACGCCCCCACGCGTGGTTCTCTGGCGCTCCTTGTGGCTCCGCCCCACGGGCTTCCCCACTCTCCGCCCACGCTGGGAATGGTGTCTGGTTCACGGTGCCGCGTACCTGCTGGAGTTTGGGCTGTGTGGCCTCATTCCCAATCCCTGCGCTCCATTGTGGGACCCCAAGGGTTAAAGACACTAGTTTTGCTGGTTGGGGATAGACCAGGCTTGGAAGTCAACTTCTAGAATACACTGCTTAACCCACGCCTACACCTCAGTTTGCGGAGGACCCACTGGCAAATTCTGCCTCTGAGCCCCTCAGAGTGGATGAAAAGAGCTGTGGAGCCCACCAACTAGAATCCTGGCTCCGCCTTTTGCTAAATGTTACTAAATGTGTGAATTGGCCTCTCCGAGCCTCACTTTTCTCATCCGTAAAATGGAGATTTTTACCTCATGTGGTTGTGAGAATTTAATAGCACAATGCATGTCGTTGGCACAAAATAAGTGTGTTGGAGAGCAATTTTCTCTCTATTCTCACTCTTCCTATTGTTTTGATTTAACCCTCCTTCTCTCTGCTGCCATGTAAGCAGAGGAGAGGCTGGAAGCAAGTTTGGGGCAGAGAAAGTTTCAAGGTGGACAGAGTCAGTTTGCAAATCTCCGGTGCACTGGTGGACCTTGAACTCCATCTTCTCCAAGACTTAACTAGTACATCAGCTCTGGCTGGTGAAGCTCAGTGGGTTGAGCGCCAGCCTGAGAACCACAGGGTCCCTGGTTCGATTCCCAGTCAGGGCACAGGCCTGGGTTGTGGGCCAGGTCCCCAGTGGGGAGTGCGTGAGAGGCAACCACACCCTGATGTTTCTCTCCCACTCTTTCTCCCTCCCTTCCCCTCTCTCTAAAAATAAATAAAATCTAAAAAAAAAAAAAAAAAAAAAAAAAGACTTAACCACTACAGCAGTAAGAAGGGCTCAGGTGAGACCAGACACAGGACTTTTTCATCACAGAAGCAGAAAATTACCGCGGCAGCTGAGCCTGGAGGCTTAGGGTGACCGCTTCCCGGAACAAAACAGTTAAAGCCAGTGAGAGTGGCAAGATGGTTTCAGAGAGGGCGAGCCAGTTGCCTGTCCCCTCCTCCCCACAGAGTTTGAGCCCAGGATTATCTGGGATGTTAGATTGCTTAACAGTGTCACATCTTTCAGCGTCTCTACTTTTGGGTGTTATATTAGTCCCTCTGGCTCCTGCAACAAACACCACACACTGGGGACTTACACAACAGAAATTTATTGTCTCACAGCTCTGGAGGCTAGAAGTCCAAGCTCACAATAATGGCAGGATTGGTTCCTTTCGCAGGCTGTGAGGGAAAACCTGTCCCATCCCTCTGTTCTAGCTTCTGGTGGGTTGCTGGAAATCTTTGTCTTGTAGATGCATCACCCACCTCTGCCTTTATGTTCACATGGATTCTCCCTGTGTGCATTTCTGTGACTAAATCCCTGCCCCGTTTTTTTTTTTTTTTATAAGAACACTATTCATATTGGAGTGGTCTACTCCAATATGACCTTATTCTAACTAATTATATCTGCGATGACTCTCCAAATGAGGTCACATTCTGAAGCGCTGAGGATCAGAACATCAACATATGAATTTGGGGAGGGGGTACAATTCAACCTGTAACTGGTGCGCTCCGCTGAAGTTGCAGAAAAACTTTGCCCCATCCCTGCATAAGAACTCGTGACTCTCAGTTGCCTACAGAATGAAGTGCAAAGTCTGATGAGTTGTAAAGGCCTTCACAATCCGGGCTGCACGACCTAACCGCCTCCCTCCAGTGCCTCACCTCTCCCCACACTCTCTACCCCACGCTACAGCCACTCTGGATGACTCATGTTGAACCTCATATTCCTTGCCTCCTCCACAGGCTCCACTCCCAACCCTTCCCAACCGGATTCCGTTTCTCTGGGTAGCCTTTCTTGCTCCCCTCCTCCTCCGGTATCTCCGTAAAGGCCGGATACAGCAGCGCATCGAGGGACGTGTCCCGCATCCTCCCATCCAAGCATGCACATCTGCCGTTCTTTCCGCACCCCAGGACCTTGCGCGGACCCTTGCTCCGGGAGCGCCCATCCAGGAGTGTTTCGCGTTCAACGACGCCCAAGCTGAGGCGTCTCAGAGCCGGGCTTCCAGGTTCTTGGGCTCCTTATAGTTCGTAAGACTCTTACGCCCCCTGGAGGGCAGGACTCTACCGCGCAGGAACAGAGACCAACCACAGTAACGGAGATTCGTCTTTATTGCACTTTTTTTCTGGGGGCTGACACCGGGAAGGCAGAGGGGAGAGGACAGGTCCAGGTCATAGCCTGGGCACGGGCTCAGACCCCGGAACGTCCCGCAGGGGCAACAGAAGGGACGGCCGCAGCGGGACAACGGCGTCCGGGGCAGGGGCGCGGTGCTGGCTCTGCGCCTGCGCGGCGGCCCATGGTCAGGATGCCGGCAGCGTGGTTGCCATTGGCCTGCAGGAGGCGCTGCAGCCGGCCCTGTAAGCCTGGGGCTCCGGACCGCCGCTTGCCCAGCGTGAGGATGCCGGCCGCGTGGTTGCCCGCGCCGTGCAGCAGCTCATAGAGGCGGCAGGAGCACGTCTTCTGGCGGCAGCAGTCGGGAAGGGGCTGTGCGGCTGCCCCGGGCGACAGGAGCGCCGGCGGCAGCAGTAGCAGCAGCAGGAGCGTCACGGCGACCCAGGAGACCTAAGGAGGTGGAGACCTGGCGCTGTTGGTGTTCCCGCCGCACCCGCTTCCAGTCCCTGCCCTGATGGTTGCGCGCCCCCTCCTGGCCTGCGCCCCTCCCCCGCTGCCTCTTCGTTTTCCTGCCTCTTGGCGATGCTGTGTGAAGGTTGGAGAGGGGCTCATCTGCTTTTTACCTGCTCCTCCTTGAAGTCTCAGCACATCTCCAGGAGGCTTTTTGAGACCCTCCGGGCAGAATGAATCCCTGTCTCCTCTGGGTATCCTTAATTCGTTGTACCCCTATTAGAGTGCTTAACACTCCACATGAAAACAGATGTGTTTGAGTCTGTCTGCACCAGAAGTTTGTACGCTCAGGGAAACAGGCCCTATTTAGTCCTGCCCCCCATACCTACCCACAGCGGCAAACCCGTGTAAATCAAGAACTAGCAGGGTCCAAGTTGTCTTGTTTGCCTGCTCCTTTGCAGGGAACACTGAACTGGGCTTTGGGCCAGTTTTCTACCCTCAGGGGCACAGCCTCCTCACTGGTGAATTGGGTATTAACTAATTCCCACTGTGAAGAGATGCTGGAAGGATAAAACGAGATGACAGGTGTAAACACAGCACCCGTCGAACAGTAAGTGGTCAATAAACACGAGCTCTTAGGAGAGCAGGGCACAATCGAATGTTAACCATGGCAGGTTCTCCACCCTGTCCCCTCCCTACCTCAGAACCTACACAGGAGGAGACCAAGGGAGGAGACACCTCCAGCCTTTCTTCCAGCCCCTGAGCAAGCTCTCTCATTGCCCCCTGGTAAGATGCATCCCCTCTACCCCTGGGCCTTTACCTTTGTGGCGGGAGGGTTCATGGTGTCTGGAGCTCAGAGGGGAGTAGCAGGGAATGGTGTCGTCTCCAGTGGTCCACAGAGCTAGGAACTTTGAGGCTGTCGACTGTGACCTGCTGCCAGGGGCCTGGGGTTTATAGTGCTCTGAGGTGGCGGGGGAAAGACAGGCACTCACGTCCACTCTGGTGCTAGACAAAGGCAAGTCTAAGATTAGCCTCGTACAGGGGGGCCGTCTCCAGGCTGGGCCCAAGGAATGGCCGCCAAGGCACCCAGAGGCAGGAGTTGGATCCCTGAGCCTCTGGTCCCTGCCTTGTCTGTCCGCCTGCTCCTTGGAGATGGGGCGGTCTCCGGGTGCTAATGAGGCCACCTTGCACCCAGGAATCTGGAAACACAAAAGAGGCCTTGGCTGGGGCGCTGGCCTGGGACAATGAGGGGAGAGGCAGCTGCTAATGAGGGTCAGGAGAGGAGGCAGTCATGAAACTCATTCTCCACAGGGTGTGTGTGTGTGCGGGGGGCACCCAGGTCTCTGCCCCTGAGGTCTGTCAGGCTGCAGGGCCGCCTTCCTCTACGGAAAAAGGCTCTAAGCTGGCCTTCCCTTCCCTCAGCCCCTTCCTTCCACTAACCTCCAAGATGGAAAACCTTGAAAACCAAACCTGGGCAGTGGGGGAAAAAAACACCCGATGTTATCCTCCGACCTTGCAAGCTTTCATCCTGGAGGGGGCGGGTGGGGCTCCATCCCGCCAGCAGCAGCGAGGGAGCCACGATGCTGGAGTGTGTCTTACTCAGGGCACTTGTCCATTGAGCACCTGCCCTGGGTCAGGCCCTGCCCGGGGCGCTGAAGCTCCGCTATGCCCAGGACATGAGCAGTTTTCAAGGGGCTCCAAAGTCCAGGCAGGGTGCAGCCCGGCATATAGGGTAGCTCAGGGAGAAAGGACTCTGAAAAGGCCTTCCACAAAAAGGAGATTTCTACCCAGTAAGTTCGGGGGAGATGGCACTCTGCTGAAGGGACAACTTGAGCAAAGACCTGGAGGTGACAGTGCTTAACTCACGTGGGATAGTGGGGTGTGGTCCTCGTGGTCATGGCTTCCCTCAGAGGAGAGAGGTGGCTGGAGAGGCAAGGCCCGGGATGGGTTTGAGGCTAAGCTGATCGGCCTTGAGCCTGTGCGCTCCGGGGAGCCACGGAGGATTTTAGCAGAAAGGAGTCATGGGCTGACGTAGGCGCTGGATGGGGGGCCACAGGGGGCTGGATGGAGGGCATGGAATCCAGAAGTGATTCAGGGACAGAATCGGAGACTTAGAAACAGGGGCTACATTACTTAGGGGGAGGTGCTGGGCTCTGAGCCAGCCTCACAACCTCCCGAAGCCTCAGTGTCCCCGCTGGTCAGGCAGACAGTTAACCCACATGGGCTCGGTGTTGCTTCCAGCTGTGATGCTTTATGATTTGCAGTGCAGCTCCTGCCTATGGAGGTGATTCATCGGTACAGGGCCAGGAAAAGGACCCGTATTGAGCTAGGGCCATGGAAATTGGGGAGCAGCCCCTTCACATTTAGGTTAAGCTTAGGATGGGAAGAGGTGGGAGGGCCTGTGTCATCTGGGTTGACCTGGGCCATGGCAGGGGGCCCCCAGGGCTCCTGGGGCGCACACACTCAGGGCCCGCCCCAGCAGACACCGGGGGCAAAGCCTGGGGATCAGAGCGGAAGGGAGGGGCAGGCTGCAGCAGGAGCAGAGCAAAAGGGCCACTACGGTTCCCCCCAAAGTAGACCCTGAGTCGAGAATCTGGGTGCAAGAGATTTATTTGGGAGGCGATCCTAGAAAACATGTAGGGCGTGGGGATGGGGGGAGGCGGGAGGAGAGCCACAAGAACTGTGCTGACAGTTACGCCTGTGGCCAGCTGGTGCAGGAGGCATGTCAGAATTGTCACACTGCAGGGCAACGAAGCTGAGGTCGGTATTCGCAACTCCTGTTCCTTGCTGACTGAGGGTTGCTCCTGGGAACATTAACTCACAACGCTGGCAGCCCACCCGGAACACTGGTCTGAGGGGCGCAGGGGCCACCGGCGTGTGGGGGAACACTCCAGCGGTGACCCCCAGAGTGGGTCCTGGGGGCTCCAGGCAGGGCACTGCTGGGGTCTGCCACACCCCGAAGCCACCTTCTCAGACCTGGCTGACTGGGCTGGACCTCCCTAAGGCCCAGCAGCTCTGATGAGCAACCAACAGGTGACACAGAGTCGAAGACCCTGAGGGCCAAGGGCCCTCCATCTAGAGAAGCCCCAGAGGAAAGAGAGAGGCAGCTCCTGGGGGCAGAGGGGACAGAGGGCAGGCCTCAGCTCAGGACAACACTCTCCTTTGCAGGAGCTGGGCCAGGGGCCTGTGCCTAAGGACCCGGGGCATCTCAGGAGGGAAGGGAGATGAGGGAGAGGCAGCCAGGGCTGCCCGGAGCTCTCTGAAGGCCTCCGGCCCCACCAGATGGACTCTGGCGGGGCCCACACTGCCCCGGAACCGCAGGGACTTGTAGCAGGGAGAGGCTTCCTGGAGGCAGTGGTCAAGCTGAGAACAGAGCGGCAGAGTGAGGCTGCTGTGTGGAGTGTGGAGTGTGGATGAGGTGCGCACGACTGTGCCTAGCGGATGTGTGGGTAGGGGTTTCATGGGTACCCGTGTGTGTCTGTGGGACTTACCCCACCCCCTCCCTTCCCAGAGCCTCGGGAAAGTTCTCCTTGCCCCCACCTCCCCACCCCGCTGCTGTGCCCGCTGCACCTGGGGCATGCAGAACGAAGGGGACATGCACTCAGATCCTGTCCCTGTCTCATTTACCTTGTCTCGATTTTCCTCTGACAGGTTTCTCAGCCCCTTCAGTGCCACGAACACCTCATAGTGGGGAGCAGAGCCCCCAGAGGAATCTGCAGACAAACCCCGCACATGCGCTTCTGTGAATGGGCAGCTTCCAAAGCCATGCCTGCTGCCCCACCCCGGGCTTCCCAGCTCTGAGGTTCCTGGGAAAACAAGGGTCCCTTGGAGTGGAGGTGGGCAAATGGGGAGCAACCCAGGCTTAGTCCTAAATATGAAACAGGTCAGGAAAGGAAATGGGGAGAGACTGCAGCAGGAGGGATGAGAGTTAGACATGAGGAAGGACTTTTTTTGCCAGGAGCAGCAAGGGAGGCCGGGTCTTACTTTCTTCCTAGAGGTCTCTCAGCAGAATGGGTATGGGTTGAGCGGCAGCCAACCCAAGAATGGGGAGCAGGAGCGATGGAAAAGCTTACCCAGAATGCTGCTCTCCACACAGCCATGGTCCAACAGCTTGGCTCCTGACCACTGTCCCACTGCCCGGCCCAGGGCCTCAGAAAACAGGTCCTCACCCATGTCTTCGCCTCGCACACTCAGGGTCTGGCTCAGCCTGAAGAGAAGGGGAGAAGGGAAAGCAACGGAGCCCAGGGCACAAGGACAGCCCCTCAGCTTCCCGGGAGGTCACCTACCTGCGGATGAACCTGACGACGGGGCACTGATTGTAGGCACCAACCACCCGTACCACGTCACCCAGGCGGCACCTGACAGCGTGGGAGTGGGGCGAGTCAGGCCCAAGGACCCATTAGTTCATGTCCCTGGCCCTCAACAGGGTCCTGGAGGGCCTGAGGTGGCTGCGGGGTGGGCAGGTGATCACCTGGTAAGGCTGGCCTGGTCCGTCAGCACCAGCTCATACTCCCTGCCCTTCTGGGCCTCGGCCAACAGGATGGCGGTGGCAGCCTCTTCCTGGCCTTCTTCCTCGACTGGGAGCAGCTCAATCAAGGGAGCGCCGGGGGGCAGGAGGTAGAGCCCGCCAGGCTGCTCTGGCCACAGGTTCAGGCCCAGCACCCCTGCGGGGAGCAAGCGGCCTCTTCACCTGGCGGTGCCGGTGCTTCCTGCTGGGCCCTCGCCCTGGACCCCAGGGCATCTCTCTCACTGCTGCCCTTCCACCCGCTCCTTCCTTCGTGGCTTCTCCGGGCTCAGCACGCTGCCTCTAGGGCTCTAACTGGGAGGAGGCAGCGCTTCTGGGCGGGCAGACCTGGGGGGAAATGCTGGTGCACTGTCAATTGTGCCACCTCTATGAGCCTCAGTTTCTTCATCTGTAAAATGGAGCTGCTGGTGCTGGGGAGGATGGAATGAGATAATAACGGGGGGCTCACTCTATGCAACTAGCCGGCTGCCCTCTGCCCCTACCCCAGCTCCCCGCCCTTGAGTCCTGCTGACCTCCAGAGACAGCATAAGCAGGTGAGAAGAAGGCCAGCCCTTGACACCACAAGGCCCCCAGGGCAGCCACAGCCTCGGCCTGGCCTCCTGCATCCAGAGTCACCACCACCTGCAGCTTTGGCCAGAGCCGCAGGGCCAGTCCTCGGGGTCCCTGCTCGAGGGCTTCCCGCACCTCAGCTGCCCGCCTGGGGAGAGGCGCTCCCGGGTTTCCAGCAGCTAGTGCCTCAGCCAGCTCTTCACCACGGGCCCCCAGGCCCGAGAAGACGTCCAGGAGTTCGGCTGCCGTCCCAGCTTCCAGTGCCCGCAGCCCCGGGGACCTCAGTGCTTCCAGCAGCAGGGCCCCAGGGTCCTTGGCTCCAGGGCGGCTCACTTGGCTGAGGACACACCAAGGCCAGGGGAGAGGGCAGGGCCAGGGGGACGTAGGAGTCAAACAGGCTGTGCCTCCCGGAGCCAGCACTTCCGGGTAGGCCTTGTCCAGGGCTGCCAGACCCAGCAAGGTGGCCTGGAGGGAGATGGGAGAGGGTGCTGGCGCCTAGTCCAAGCCAGACCCCCAGCCTCCAGTTTGGAGATTCTTTGCCCACCGGATAGAAGGGTGCGGCTGCAAGTTGGGGTCTACGGTAGGGCTGGGCTCCAGCCTTCTCGATTTACCTGCAGAGAGGCCTTCCCACGGTGCTGTTTGGAGGTAGGGGGCGGGAGCTGCTCCCCACTTTCTTCCTCCCGGGTCTGGCTGGCCTTGGTCAGAGGGAGATGATTCCGGAAGGCGCTCATATCTGTGGCCCCAAAGACATCATAAACTCATGGAGCCGCAGAGGTTCCCAAGGCTTTCAGGCAAGATGGGTGAGACTGTTGAGGAAGGGACGTGGAAAGACGTGGAATAGGCCTGGGGGGGGGAGGGGCTTTCAGGGTCCAGGATGGGAAGCGTCATCTTGAACAATCCTGAACCTGGGGAGGGTCCCTGGGTCAGGCCCCTCTGTGTTGGCAGCAGAAGGTGGGAAGGGGGGTCTTTAGGTTTGGCATCTGACTGTGCTGTGTCATCTCTCTCTCATTGGGCCACCTCCCCAGACCCTGGAAAACACACCTGTGCTCCCCCTGAGGGGCCAGCGGGGACCCCGGGCTCCCTTCAGGCACCACCTCAGGGCCTGCTGCTGGCTCTGGCCCGCGTGCAGCGTGCTCTGCTCCAGCCTCCTCTGCTGCCAGGCGGCTGCCCCGCACAGGGCCCCCCGTGCCACACGGTGCTGGAGGCAGGCCAGCCAGGACAGCCTGGGACCTGGGGACTGCGGCTGCCGGAGCCTGGCCAGTGGCGGCAGCAGCAGCAGCAGGAGCAGCAGGAACAGCAGCAGGAACAGCAGCAGCATCTCCAGGCGGCTCCTGGGCAGAGGGCGGGACCAGAGGGCTTGTACTCGGGCTCAGGGGGGAACTCATTTCTCACCACTCCTCCCCATTCTCCCAGTGCAGGAAAGCCAAGGACAAAGGAAGCCTGGGAAGAAGCTAGGACCCAGGTAAGGCAGAGAGAACATCAGGTTTTAGAGTCACACTGACCTGAGTTCGGATCCTGGCTCTGCCACTTGCTCTCTGTACGTAATTCGAATGGCTGCTCTGAGCTCTGCCCCCTATCTGTCAAATGGGAATATAGTACCCCCCCCCCCCCCGCCGAAGCTGCAGAAAGGGCTTGGCACGGTGCCTCGCGTACAGAGGCTGCTTATCGACTGAGGTCTTGTCCACTTCCGAGTGGCTCTGCTTCGTCCCAGGATCCACCCTGTCCCAGCTCTGTGTCCCTCCTGAGCCCTGGGCAGTGGTTCATGTCCCACATGCACCTGTCACAGCCCACTTGTGCCCCCTCCCTGCATCCAGGGCCGCCTCATCACTCTGGTCTCAGTATAGAGGCCAGCCAGAAAGATGAGGCCGTGGCTTTAAAGGGTCGGGCCTCACAACAGGGAAATCCGGCCACTGGGCCTGAAGGCGGGGCTGAGATGGGGGGTGCTCTTAAAGGAGCCGGTTGCCTACGGAGGACATGCTGGGTGCTGGCCCGAGCTGGCAGAAGTGGGAAGCTAGGGCTAAAATAGCGTGGTCCTCACGCTTGTGCAGGTAGAGGGAGAGAAAGCGGATCGTGGAAAAGAGCGCCAGGAAGCAGCTAAGCAGCTTCAGCTCAGCGCGGAGCGCACCCCATCCTGGAGCAGATTCAAGCTTGAGAACTGTTAGAAACCAACATTTTCTCTCAATCCAGAAATCCTCTCCCCCAAGGTGGTCGAGAAAGAAAACACTTTTATTACTGAATGAACATTAAGCCAGAATGCGATGTGCATCCTAGGCCATGTGCTGGGAGATTGCAAAGACGAAAAAAGAATCTCACTCCCATTTATAGCCAAGCTGACATCACGTCCGTGTCCGCAAGATAAATGATGACTAGCCCTCCAGGCAGAGAACCTGATGGCAGCACTTGTCAATGTATTCATCGTAACTTTACCTGGCAATAGGGGTCACCGTCTGAGTTAGCTTATTGGCTTTATCCAGGGGAAAAATAAACTTCTATGTGACACATGGTAGTTTTGCAACTTGGAGCAAGGAACCCACTGAGATGAGGCTTTTGCTCTTCCACTGTGAACTTTGACATGCTGTGTTCTAGAACGAAGCTCTTCTGCTGTCCACGGGGAAGCCCTCCCTCGCTCCACGTGGGCTCCTGACACAGGCTCTCAGGCGCTAACACCCATCCTTCAGCCCTGCCCCTGCCTCTGTGTCTCGCAGCATCGCTCCCTCGTTTGCACAGCTGAGCTCGTTTGCACACGTCTGCTCTCACGGTTGGGCTACCCCCACCTTGCCTTCACTCCTTTTGATTTCTTGCCGAGCTCTCACACTTGCTTTTAAAAAAACATAACAGCTTTATTAGATATAAGTCTCACACTGCACAAATCACCCATTTGAAGGGGACAATTCAGTGGTTTCCAGTACACGAGATCTGTTCGGCAGAAGTTCGGTTGTTGTTAATATAGCAAGAACCGTTTGAACGACATTGATGTAACCTGGCAGCCAAGGAGAGTGGACTGGAGTGTGCATGCGTGAACAATGCTGACTTCACCGCACTAGTCAGCGGGGATGGGAGACGCTGTTGAGGGAGCATGTGTGCTGTGTGGCTGTCCCATTCAAAGTGGCTGAGTGAGTAAAGCAACAAATCTGCATCAGATTTTACGTTAAGCTTGAACATTCCTCCATGGAAACTATTTGGATGATTCAGAAGGCTGCAGCTATGGGCAACTGGTGATTGGCAGCTTCATCATGACAATGTACCTGCTCATGCATCACATCTCATGCAGAGGTTTTTGGCGAAACACCAAATTACTCAGGTGGCTCAGCCCCCCTACAGCCCAGATTTGGCGCCCTGTGACGTGTGGCTTTTCCCAAAACCAAAATCACCTTTGAAAGGGAAGAGATTTTAGACCGTCAATGAGATTCAGGAAAATACGGCAGGGCAGCTGATGGTGACTGGGGGAACTATGTGAGGTCCCAAGGTACCTTCTTTGTAGGGGACTGAGGTATCATTGTCCTATGTACAATGTTTCTTGTATCTTGTATCTTCTTCAATAAATGTCTCTATTTTTCATGGCGCATGGCCGGATACTTTCTGGACAGACCTCATTCACAGATACGTGCAACACCAAAAATCAATTTATAACACTTTCATCACCTCAAAAGTAACCCCAAGCCCTTTAGCTATATCGCCCAATCCCTTCCCAGCTTTCCCCACCCCCGCCCTAAGCAACCGTAAATCTACTTTCTGGTCTCTATAGATTTGCCTATTCTGGACAGTTCACATAAACGGAATCATATAACACATTGTCTTTGTGTCTGGCTTCTTCCACTTAGTATAATGTTTTCAACGTTCTTCTGTGTGGTAGTGTGCATCAGTGCATGCCTTTTTATTGCCAAATAATATTCCACTGGAGGTAATATCATCCAAAAGGGGTGTGTAAAACACCACCATGTTTGTTTACCCAGTCATCAGTTGAGGGGTTCATTTTTGCTCTTTGGCTATTATGTATAATGCTGTTGTGAACATTTATGTACACGTTTTTCTGTGGACATATATTTTAATGTTTCTTGTGTAGAGACCCAGGAGTGGACTAGCTGGGTTGTATAGCAACTCTTTTTTTTTTTAAACTCTTTAAGGAATGGCTAATCTTGTTCCCAAAGTAGCTGCATCATTTTACATCCCCACTAGCAGTATATGAGCGTTCTGATTTCTCTACATCCTTGCTAATACTTGATATTGTCTGACCTTTTGATTTAGCCATCCCAGTGGGGTGTGAAGTGACTTAAGCCTATTTAAATTTTCATTTTCCTGATAACTAATGATGATAAGCATCTTTTTATGTGTTTAGTGGCCATTTGTATATCTTCTTTGGAGAAATGTCTTTTCAGACCTTTTACACATTTTCAATTGGGTTGTTTTCTTATTAAGCTGTTGAGTTCATTATGTATTTTACAAACAAGTCCCGTGTGGTTTGCAAATATTTTCTCCCATTCTGTGGGTTATTGTTTCATTATCTTGATAGTGTCCTTTGTGTTGGGGACATTTCCTCAGGTGTACTGAAACTGACCCCCCAAGGAAGACAGGGCCAAGGACCAAAGAAAGAGGCTGTCAAAGAATTCAACAAAGAGCTTATTAAGAGAACTTCCTGACGGAAGCAGTCTTGGGCAGCAGCCAGATGATGGATCTCCACACCTGAAGGATGGGAGCTTGAAATATATAGCTTTCAGGAATTAAGGTGGCTTGTAGCCAAGCAGTACATGCTTGTTAAGAGCTGTATATTTCAAATCACTAAACTTGATGGGCCTCCTTATCTATGTAAGAACATTCCTTTCAGGTGACACAGGTGCAATTTTCTCAGTGAAAATGCTAAACTCTTAAAGACAGGCGTGTCCTCTACCATTGATGTGGAAGAATAAAAAAGTTAAAAAAAGAAAAATTGGTATTCTTTACATATTTGGTGCAATTCAGTGGTGAAGCCATCTGGGTCTGAGCTCTTCTCTACTGGTAATTTTTAATAGTACTTACAAAGAAAATCACTTTGTTAGAAATCTATTCAGATTATCTATTTTTTTTTAATACAATATTTACTAAAGGGGATTTTGTAGGGTGGTGAACTGATACCTTCGTGATAACCTCGCTTCTGGGACTTGCTGGATTCCTAGCCTGTTACATGATTTTTCAAATGCGTACCTATTTAATGAATTTTATATATATTCACCTGATGATGAAGGCAATAACTCTTCTGTCATATCACCTTCGATAATTACTTTATAACAGGAAGGTATTTTTGAAGTAAGCTAGTCAGTCAAGTCCTGTTACGCTGATAAAATTCTAACTGAAGAAATTCAGAGGGTTTAAAGGTCTTCTTAGACTTACGAACATCTGACAGGAGAGTGACGATGAGCGTGCATCTCAGAATTGCCAGGGTGGCGGTCATGTCACTCCTTCAGGATGTCTCTCCATCCGGAAGCACCTGCTGTTCCTCACACCCCACCAAGAGTCCAAGTGTCGCTTCCATGGAGTGCAGACCAGGTTCGGTTGCAGCAAATTGCAGAGGTATCCACACAGCAGGAAGACCAAGTTCTTGATTGTGATGATGGCGTCATGGGTGTTTGTATGTGTCCAAAGTCATCAAATTTCATATATTACATACATGAAGTTCATTGCATATCAATTAGATCTAATAAAGCCTGGTCTCAGGCAACGGTGGGGCAGGGGGGGCTAGAGATGCCTGAGGTGGCCGGGGAAGGAGTCTTTGGGGAGAGAACTGAGAGTAGCCGGCAGGATCTGTTGCTGACTCATCCCTCACGGGGCAGCCGCCATCTTGCTCAGGCAGAGACCAGATTATCTATTTCTTGCTGAGTCAGTTTCAGTAGCTTGTCTTTCTAGAAATGTGTTTTATCTGAATTATCTCATATATAGGCATACATTAGTTCATAGTAATCCTTTTACTTCTCTAAGATCTGTATTAATGGCTCCACTTTTATTTCTGAATCTTTTTCTGGGTAAATCTAGCAAAAGTTTGCCAATGTTGTTGATCTTTTCAAAGAACTAACTAGTTTTTGGTTTCACTGATTTTCTCTATTGTTTTTCTATTCCCTGTTTCATTAACTTCTGCTCTTTCTTTTCTTCTGCTGGCTCTAGATTTAGTTTGTTTTTATTTTTCCAGTGACTTAAGGTGAAAGGTTGGGTTATTGATTTGAGATTCCTCCTTTTTATTTATCTTTATTGTATTTTTTCCATTACCATTTAATCCACTTATACCTTCATCCATTCCTTTTAAATACACGTCTTTTCAGCTATAAACTTTTCTCTAAGCATTGCTTTAGCTGCATCCCATTAAGTTTTATGTTGTGTCTTCATTTTCATTCATCTCAAATTATTTTCTAATTTCCCTTTTGATTTCTTCTTGGACCCATTGGTTTAAGAGCATATTGTTTTATTTCCACATATTTGTAAATATTCCAGGGCATATTTGTCGTTTAGTGAGTGGCTGCATTATTTAATGAGTTTATTTATTCCCCTGGGCCAACCCCACACATAATGCCAAGCCTGTTATTGTCCTTCAGGGGGTGCAGACTTGAGTGTGCCTATAGTCACCCTCATATGATAGTCATTTGCACAGGTCTTTCCCTGACCACATCCAACTCTTAAACTACACTAATTACTGGCTGACTGTTATATATCTATGTATATTTTTAAACAGTGCCGTGGAGAATAAATCGCTCCACAGACTGATACAATCAAATTCAGGCATCCTCAAAGGGATCGTTTCAAGGCCAGCATCTGAGATTTGTTGACCCCAAGAGAGCTCCTCCTAGCTGTCTCTTTCCCAATCTCTCCCTAGCAAACCATCCCAGTTTAGTCTGTATTTCCAACACAACTACCACTCGCCTGCCAACTCTCTTTCACCGCTGCCTCCACTGTTTTGGAGAACGCCCCTAAGCTCAAGCTTCTCTTGCAAATGCAGTCAGCTCCTTTGAGGAGATAGCCAAGGGGCCCTGCTCTGTAGCCTGACTCCCCTCTGGGGCAAAAATTCTGAGCCATGGCTCTGATCTCTGGTACTGGGGTCAACGGAACAGTTCTGAGTGATGAGCCCACTTCAAAAGATGAATGAATGTCTTTTCCTTTCTCACCTCCTATGTGTTCCGTAAGAGTCAGCTCAAGATGTCCAGTGTCCTTCCCCTGTGTTCTTTTGTCTTTGATAATGGCCTTGGGATACCTTAATGAACAGCAGCATGAACCAGCATCTCACCGTAACTGGCCGTGTTAGCTGCCTTTTCCTGACTGCAATCCTCTCGAAGGTAGGAACCATTTTTCTCATCCCATACACGGAGCTCAGGGCCAGCACTCTAAATGTGCTGTATTTTAAACATGCGCTCCCTGACAGGAAGGGTGTGGAGTTGGGAGGCTGGGAGATAAAGACTATCATTCTAATTTTCAAAACATCCTATGAGCAGGAAGGTGAGAAATGCCCCCACCTTCCATCAAAGCTGGCGACTTGCTCTCTGAGGAGCCATCTCCAACTAGTTCCCTTTCAGACTCACACTGATGATTTCCAACTTTTCCTGATCAAACCACCCTCCCTTGCCACCTGTTGGAAAGAAAAAAAAAAAAATTAAGACAGGACTCAGTGTTGTCCCTTCAGAGGAAACCTTTATTGTAACATAAAATACACTATTTGTGATTTCCCCAAGTAAAACTGTACACAATACTTTTTTGGTGGCTATATACTAATCTGCCTCAACTCTAAAATATGTATCTGCAATAATTTCACAAAGTTTTAAAAAGAAAAATTATAAAAAGTATACTTCCATTTTAAGTTATATTAACTCTGTCTCCCCCCACCCCCTAAAAAACCCTGCACACAGCGCGCACGGAGTCAGAGCGCTCTGGTGACGCGCGTGCGCGTGTCCGGGAGCGTGGGGAGGCGGAGGCAGTCAGGGCTTCCCGTGACCTCTTCTGGTTTGCAGGGACAGGGAGAAGAGGGAAAGTACAATGCAGAGAGCGAGCACACCTTTCAGTCAAAAATCTCTCCCATCGATAGGCACAGCCTCAGGAAAACTGAGGACAAATCAGCAACTGTACAAGCACGGGAACCCCACACGCAGCACCTGTCCCCCGAACCCTACTGCCAACTGTCAAGCGAGAGCTCTACCCCCAGCGTCCCTAGGGCTGGGACCACTACCGATCTGAAAGTGCATCGACCCGTGGCCCCGCCCCCTGCGGGACAGGCAGCGCGTCACTCAGAGGCAGGCGCTGCCCCTCGAGCCTGGGTCTGAGCCCAGTCAGGCTTCCTTGCCGCCTTTGCCCAGCGCTCCTGTCCTCACAGGCGGACTTTCCATCTAACGCTGAGGGTCCGCCAGGGGCTTAGCAGCATCCTACATCAACGCCGGTGTCCACGGCGGGGCCGGCCTGCTCCTCAGAGGCAGAGAAAGTCTACTGCCTGGCATAGAAAAATAAATCAGTGTATGAAACCAAGCCAGGGCAAACAGCAGCTTTTAAAAAGTTATCTTCCAATAAATAATTTACTACAGAGGAATATTCTTCTTTAACATCAAAACACTGATAAGTTCAGAAGTTATTTTTGTAAAAAAAATATGTTTATTTACTCACATGTATAAAAATAAGGTTTTTAGGGCCATTCTCTCCTGGACGTGGCCATGTCCTTCTTTTGGAGAGGGCGGCCTGGGTGACCTTGTAGGCCTAACCCGAAAGCTGTACCTGTCCCCCCTCTTCCCACCTGCCTGCCATAGCCCATTCCTTCCTTCTGGTATAAACTACTCAAGAAACTATGGACAAAAATTATGCTGAGGCTTTTTGTTTTCTTTTTGCAGCTTACCAAACCTCTAGCAAACCTGCTGACTCCTCCTCCCCAAATTAGCAATGCCTGACACCCAGCACCCTGCGCCAGGTGGGCAACGACACCTGCCGGTCACAACGGCCCTGGGTTCAGACCTCACTCCTGCCGCCCACTCCCCGAGACACCGTGTGTGAACAGCAGAGGGAAATGAGATGACCTGGGGATGAGCGGCACAGGACCTGGCACAGGGAGAAGGATTTCTGATGTCAAATTAGGGCGGGAAGGGGAAAACGAGAAGTCTCAATTTAGAAACAAAAACGCCGTTCAACATTTGCAAAAAGCTGTTATCAATACGCCTTCCAGCGCAGAGGAAGGATGGGCAGACTGGACAGAGGCTTCCCTGGGTGACAAGGGAACATTCTCGGTGCCTGCAAGTCAGGGCTGGGCGTTCCACCCTGGCCGCAACACAAAGGACATCGACACTGTAAGCTTCGGTTATGTGACCCTCTCTTCCCTCTAGTTCATCGCATACGTGTGCACACAGAGGAACTGAGCGAGAAGGAGGGAGGGAGACAGCCTGGGAGGGAAGGAGGGACGGAGAGAACATTAAGATGGGTTAAGTGTTATTTAAAAAGCCACTACCCATCCGAAGACCCCTGATTCTCCTTGCCCCAACGGTCCTCCTAGGCCGCCCCCTTTCTCATCCCTACCCAGGAAAACGGGGTAAGGGGGAAGGGGAGGGAGGACTGACTTCCCTCATCGAAAGGCAGTTTCTACATTTCAGAAGAAAAGCAGAGACAATCATAGTTATATAACAATTGCTTGGCAGACACAGTGACAAAGACTCACCAGAGAGGAGCTGCTTTCCCCTCCCTTTGTCCTCTTACTTGAACAGCCACATGTCAAAGCTCGGCCACCCTCAAGACACATGGCCGAGTTCCAGGGTTCATGGAACTACTGCCTTGTCGTGCAAGGTCAAAACTGCCACAGCCTCTGCCTGTGGCCCCACCGCTGCAGCTGAGCTCCGGACGGCAAGGGGGAGGAACGCCACACCGTACAAACGCGCGCACACACACGAATACACACAGACACACGCCCTGCACCGGTGCCACCATGCACAGAAACACTAAAGTCACAACTAGTAATAACACTTCACATTATGAGTATTGTTTCCAAAGAGAAGTGATTCATGGAATTGAAACATCCACAAGAAGCAACTCCTCCGGCAAGGATGAAGACGCCGAGGGCGAAGACGCAAGGTCACGACTGCGCGTGAGGGATCCACTGAGTGTCCATGGGTCGTCCCAAGAGTTCCTCCACACGGCGTGCCACGTCCATTGTGTCGTCCAGGTCGAAGTCCCCATCGGTGTCAAGGACAGGGTCAGGGCTTGGGAGGGAAAGGAAAGCGATGAAGGGGAAGGGAAAGGTTGTGAGGCCAATGACGAGGAGCAGAGACCAGCCCACGCCCCATGCCCCGCCGGGCGGCAGCCCGAGCCTGCTGCACCCTCGGCCTGGGCTTCCCGGGGAAAGGACCCCTTCTCATCTCAACACCTGGCAGTAGATCCTTCGCCAGCTGGACAGAGAGGCTCAGGCTAAAATACCCACCCTCCGCTAACCACTAGGCTGCACACCTGAAACTAATACAAAATAATATCGAATGTAAACTGTCATTGAAAAAAAAATTCTTTAAATACCACGCCCATCCTCTCCCCTCCCCTACAGCTGCCCCACACATTGGCTGTGCAGATACATCTAAACCCTGTACGGTCCTTATACAGAGAAAGAAAAATCTCCATTTCGGGAGCAGATATTTGCCCAACCCCACTCTAAACTATCAACATCTTCTGGTCAAATCTCTCCCTCCCACATGGGCACATGCCACGGCCCCACCTGGGTTGGGTGGTCTCAGACCTACAGGGGCTCTGGACTCCTTGGCCCACCAGCCCCGCTGCGGTCCAGCCTGAGGCCGAGTGCCCAGTCCCCCCAGCCCATGAAGCCCCGCAGGAACGCAACCTACTTCTGCGGGTACATGTTATAATGAGCCTGGGGGCACACGGCGGGGGAGGGAGCCTGGTCCATGTAGGTGGCGCTGCCCCCCGCAGAGTCTGCAGACGTCACAAACCTGGAGGAGGAAGCAGAGCAGAGCCTCAGCCGCCTCGGGGCAGCGGCCGACTTGGGGGGGTGCTCAGGGGGCGTCCTTATGTCTTTTTCAGGCACGAAGGACCACGTGCCCCCCGGGCCTGGGGCTCCGGCTGCAGGAGTGGGGCCCTGGCTACTGGCCCGGTGGTGACCAAGCCCAGTCCCGTCCCCAGGGCTGAGACGGGTTTTCAGGGGAGGGAATGCTGGGCCCTCGAATGGGAGGGGGTGGCGGTGGCGGGTGAGGACAGCGAGGGGAGAAGGGAGGCAGCGGGAGGCGGGAGCTGGACCCCGGACACTTACTCAGGGACCACTTGCTTGATCTGTGGCTTCACGTATCCGTCCACCGCTTTAGCTGCCGAGGGGGGAACAGTGATAAGAACCACAGTTTGCAGATGAAATAAAGATGAAATCTCCCTTATGAATCACATCTTTTCTTAGCATGAACACAACCACCTAATTTTATCATCTTAGGAACTGATAGAAGCACTTAACATTTCAATCTGTTAGGACACCCTGGCACAGAAAAGTCTCAATACTAAAACTGAAAGTGAAGATATTCCAACTGCCTTGGATGTGCTTACGAATTCTTCAAACCACAGAAGATACATACTTCAATACAAATCGAAGCCAAGCATTAACTGCATACTAACTGTGAAAAGAAAAAATATCTTTAAATAAAGCTTCAAGTCACAGATGCAGCAAGGGGGGCAGGACCTGCCCTGTGTCCTACGGGACAAGATGGGGAACAACAGGAGGAGATCAGAAGAGGACAAAGCCTCAGTCATATAAGGACGAATGCTTTCAGGCTTAGGACGTCCCAAAACAGAAATGGGAAGAACTTGGTCTTGGGAAGAACTGGTTCCTTATCACTAGAGGTTTTCAAGAGGAAGGTGTACAAACAACTGTCAGGGATTACCCAGAAAAATCTAAGTATTTGAGAGGAGTTAACTGGACGTGGTGATCCCAGAAGTCACTCTGAGTATCTACTCTCAGGAAAGGGACTGCCACTCAGGTGCCCGCAAGCTCCTTCGTGCCCCCACGGTTTCTGCATTTGGGAGTCGTCTGATGGCCCCTCACTCCAGTCAGTGTGGCTTACGCCTTGCGGCTGGTTAAAAAGAATGCTGGCGTGTGTCTCTTCCGCTCACCACAGCATCCCCCTGGGGGGGACCTGAGAGTGACCCGGTCAGCCACAGCTACAACTGCCTGAAAGGCTGACTGTGGAGATCTAGGTAAGTAGGTGGTAGGAATGTGACAGTCTGAAGCCAGCGAACGAAGTCTTGTTTCCCGGGAATGAGAATATGGGAATAAGTAAAATCCTGACTCTATTAGGCTTAGGAAGACCACGTGAAGGTTAACAGGGTGGAACAGCCCAAGAGAGTGAAGTGCTACATGGTTCACAGACTGCTTGGTACCCTAACCTGCTTCTCTCAGGCTTCAAATGTCAGGGGCTACTTTTTCATAATGTTGCATGTCTTTGTGCTTCACAGGCTACAGAGAATTTTATAGATTGGCCGAAAAGATAAAAACCAAAGAAATGCTGTAAGAAATAGGATTTAAAAGTCTAGATTAGCTGTGCTAACAAAAAGAAGCAGTGATAGATTTAATCCAAAATATCATATAAACCTAAAAATATTTTGACTTACGGTTCCATCTAGAAACACAGCCGTCCCACTGGGGTGGGAAGGCACAATCCACAGGGGAAAGGCGGACAGATGGGACCACGGAGCCCAACTGCAAGCCTTCATACGTTAAAGCTTCAGCAAAATAAAACTTACATATTAAAAGAACAACAACACGCTGAGAAAAATATTTGCTATATATAATAAAGGGTTTATTTACTACAGAAAACTATTTACACATCATTAAGAAAAAAGGAAACTCCAAAAGATAAACAAGGAACATGAACATACTTCACGGGAAAATACACATAAGTCCAATAATGTAGAGGTTAAAAAATACAGGAATGGTGCTAGACTCCCTGAGCTCATATCCTGGTTCAGCCTCTTCCTAGCTGTGTGACCTTTGGCAAATTAATTAATTCTCTGTACCTCAGCTCCACATATGGAAAAGGGGGGCAGCAATAGTACCTACTTCACAGACCTGTTTCGAGGAGTAAATGAGGCACGACATAAAAATATACTCAGAAAAGGACCTGGCACATAGTAAGTATTCAACAGATGTCAGCTGCTATTATAATTCTATTTGTTATTATCATTATATGAAAAGGTGTTTTGGCCTTACCTAGAATCAAAGAAATGAAAATAAGAACTGAGATATCATTTTATGCTGATGAGACTGCCAAACACGAAGCGGATGAACAGAATCTACTGGCAGGAGGAGGGAGAAGCGACGCCAGCAGCCCTCGGGGGAGGGGTGACAGTGGACCCCACCTTCTGGAGGGGAGTTCTGCCGAGGTGTGTCTGAACGCTTAAAAGGTGTGTACCCCTTGACACAAATTGTATTTTAGGAATTTATCCTAAAGAAATTGAACAAGATGCACATACCAGGTTATCTCAATATTAATCATAACAGATAACTGTGAATAACTTAAATTTAAGTACTTTAAATAACCAACACGGGCTATGTCATGTGGAATTGCCATACAATGGAATTCTGTGCAGTCATTAGAATGATGTTGTAAGATTATATTTACTGACTTGTAACTCTGCCTACGATATATTTTTCAGTAAGGGGAAAAAAAACCGGACCGCAACAGCTGCTGTCCGGCACGGCCCGGCATGACCCGGCCCCTCCCTCCGCCCTGCCCGCCCTGCTCTGGCCGCCCGGGCCCTCCCGAGGACTGTCACGCCCGCCGCCCTCATGTCCACCTCAGAGCTCCTGCACTTGTTCTCTAGGCCTAGCATGTTCTCTCTCTAGACCTTTAGATCGAGCTTCCTCACTTCATTCGGGCCTATTCTGACGCCGCCTCCTCAGGGAAGCCCTCCCTGACCCCTCGAGAAGCCCTGCAGCGGGAAGGCGGTCGGCCTGTCCGGGAGCCCTGGGCGGGGCCGGGAGGCCAGAGCTGGACGAGCAGGGCCACAGGCGGCGGAGGATGAGGCCGGGCGGCGGTGAGCGCTCCCCGCCCCCACTCCCTCCTGTCACGTCTCTGTCCCTTTAACCCTGCCTATTTGTCGTCACGGCATCCATCACTACATAAATATATTTATTTCTTCACTTGTTTATTGCCTTCCTTCTGCTGTTAGATTTTAACTTCCACACGGGAGGCACTTCGTAAGCATCCGGTGACTGACTGACTGAATGAAGAGTAAGTATCTACATAGACTGGAAAAATAGTCACTAAATTACTTACAATGTTTAATCTCTACTTGAGAGATGTTGGGTGATACATATTTTTCTATACTTTTTGGAAATTTTACAGTAAATTCATAATACTTTTATGTTCGGAAAACAAAACCATCTCTGTTTTGAAAAACAAAATTTTAGCTTCCTAATTTTGTGTGACCTAAGCTTGTGTGAAAAGCAATTTGTTCCCTTCAATTTGATATCTGGAGTGAGTGGCAGATGTGTTTCCTGTGCGACCGAAGAACACAGCCCGGGACCTACACCTGCCCTGGGGAAAGCTCAAACAGCAGTAACTACGTGCTAACTGTGGATTCTCATGCAAGACAGACAGACAGACACAAAACTAAAACATAACCAAAACACAACAAAACCAAATCAGAATGCGAACATTGTTACCAGTGGCAGGCTCGCATGGAACTGGTGTGTAATATTTGGAGTACACTTCATCTTTCGGCCGATCAGGGAACACGTAGATGAGGTAATTCAGGTCCCCCAGGCGGTCGGCCAGGGACCGGATGGAGAAGTCTCTGGTGGTGAAAGGCATCAGATTCCAAAACATTCTTTCCTCTAGATCAATAAATAGAACAGTTACATTCTAAACATGATTTCTGAACAGGACATCTTAATACCCAAATATATACTACAAATTAAAGAGCTCCATTAAAATTGTACCAATAAAAATCTCCCTTTTAACATGACCACAGGTTATAGATCAAGTAGCTGTTTTTAAAAGCCATGGGTAGACAGCTGGGAATGCATACACCGCTTCCCTAGAGACCCAATGGTCTCCCTTAGGTAGTGTCAAGTTCAAATGGTGTTCTGTCTCTTTCTAGAAGAAACTTCTTCTTGACTCCCTGGTTCACTATACAGAAGTATGCGAGAGAGCCCTGGCTGGTGTGGCTCAGTGGGTCGCGTGCAGGCCTGTGAACTAAGGTGTCGCTGGTTCGGTTCCCAGTCCCTGAGCATGTCTGGGTTGTGAGCCGGTCCCCGGTTGGGGATGCATGAGAGGCAACCACACATTGATGTTTCTCTCCATCTCTCTCCCTCCCTTCCCCTCTCTCTAAAAATAAATAAGTAAAATCTTTAAAAAAAAAGTATGTGAGAGCGAGAAAGCACGTCCACAGGCAGAGGACACATGAGCACTACTGAATGCTATTAAATCTTTCAGCCACACAAACAAAACAAAACTCGAAAGCTACTCTTACCTTATTGTGAGGGTCAGAGGAAAGAACTAACATTCTTGGATGAAAATGGCCAATGACAATATCCTTGTGTTAGTATAAATAATTAAAATAGCATATTATTTCTATGTTAATGACTCCAATTTATCAAAGTAGTTCTTCACTGCAATAAGCTTAAGGTTGAGCAATAAGAAGGTGAACATTTCAAAAAGGAAACTGCTGAGATTTGGGACAGGACACCATGTTACATGTTATGACATCAGGGCTGTACATTTGTGTTTCTCAAAATTAGTACTTGTACTTCCTATACTAAGATTTTACACAGGCTCCCATATTATCTGTGGCTTTGTCATGGTTATACCTTTGTGTTGCATAATTAGCACTGGCCTCCACGAGTAACAAGTACTCAATAAATTGAATGTTAAAGCAATTCTGCAACAAAAGCCGTGAACTGGAGCCATCTTGGCTGCACTCTTGAAAAAGGAGGAGCACTCACGAGAATCAAACTTCCAAGCAATGGTGATGCCGCCAATTTCAGAGTCACTGAATCTCAGCAGGAAGGTCCCATCGGGCTTGTTAATGAGTAGGTCGTGGGCCTGTTGCTTATTCACAAAACCCAAAATAGCCCTGGATCACAAAGGTCAAAAAAGCAGAAGCAGAGTGTGATTTTTTTTTTTTTTTAAACACTGGAAAGACGACCCTCTAACTCTACTGCTGTCTTAAGAAATTATGATTCTTACCCATCATTCCAGTGAGGCTTGAGATGTTTTTTTAACACTTCCATCACACCATCAAACCACTGCCAGAAAGTGTAATTCCGTCCTGGTAAGTTCTCCTGGTTGGAGATACAACAATGAACATGAGAAGGCAAAAGCGGCACTCGGATTATTACTTGTATACACTTTTAACTGAAAAAATCCAAGAGAAAACAAACATCTACACTGTCAGAATCATACAAATATAAAAACCTGCATGAGTTTTCCCAAATGAATGGTCCTGCAACCAAAAAACAGACAGAGGAGAAGGAAGCAGAGGAAAACAGTACAGAGCAATTACCAACACCCATGGACCGTGGCTACAAGCACCTTCCATCGGGGCCGACTGGTCCCTTGCTGTCTTGGACGTGGGGTCTGTGACCAGCAGAGGCAGCATCACCCAAGAGCTTCTGAGATATGCAAAATTTCAGGCCTGATCTCAGATCTACTTAATCAGGGCCTGCATCTTAACAAGATGCCCAGGGGGATTGTAAATTTGAACTGGATTAGATCACCCTGGTAGGCCACAGAGATTGCTCCATCACACACACAGCAGTTACCAACAGTTATCAGAAAAATGCAGCTATCTGATTCTAGTGGAATTTCTGCATCCCCTATCAAACTCCTCTGACTGCCACCAAACACACTGGCCAACTGGTTAATACACAACCATTTAAAAGGGTTAGACTCAGAGACTATGAGATCTCTGAATTATGGCTGTAAAACACTGGTGGCGGCGGGGGGATGGTGTAAGAAGAGAAACGAAAGTTAAATTTAAAACCAAAGATGGCTCAGTGGATTGAGTGCTGGCCTGTGAACCAAAGGGTCGCCAGTTCGATTCCCAGTCAGGACACATGCCTGGGTTGTGGGCCAGGTCCCCAGTAGGGGGCGCATGAGAGGCAACCACACATTGATGTTTCTCTTCCTCCTTCCCTTCCCCTCCCTCTAAAAATAATTAAATAAAATCTTTCAAATAAAATAAAACCAAAGGTGTGACAGGTGACATCTGAATTAGCAGATGCTGGAGAAAAAGTTTCCTTTACCAGCATCCCATTAGATGGCCTGAGGGTCCCATGGAAGCCTAACATTGCATCACATATCAGGGAACATATCAGAGTCAACGGGACAGAGCCATGACGTTCTGATCAACGCCAAAGCTTTACTTCTTGTGAGTTACGTTACCATTTGCTTTGTTTGTTCTGTTTCCTTTCTAAAATGCACTAGCTGCACATAAAGCTTAGATTTACTTAAATATTCAAGGATGTAATGTTCTAAATAAAAATATGTGGTTGTCTCTCTATTCAGCAGTTTCCCATTACTTTGGGCACATTTTATGGGAGACAGAAAGCACAGGAGCCAGGGAGGGGCGACTCCCGAAGGCATCTGGTTGGGAGGGAGTGGTCCCATGGCGGTCCCTCACCCTGTTGAACTGGGACCAGGACACGGACATGCTGTTGTAGTCCTCGAGGTGGTTGCTGCTGCTGTTGAACAGTTTCTGCGCCAGGAACACGAGGTTCTCCTTGGTGAGGCCCCGGTTGCTCTGCACTTCGGCCTTGAATTTCATGTTGAGCGCCTCACACAGCTGCGGCCACAGCACTTTGTCAGGCACAGCAAATGGCACCCTGCCCTGGAGGGAGGGAAGCCAGAACCTTATGAGAAAACAGTTGCATGATTTATTCCTCAACCTGCCAAAAACAACAACAAAAACCCATTGACGGCTGGAGGTAGTTACAAACGTTTGCCTTACTGAGCCTGAGGATAAATTCAAACTTTCCTGGGGTGTATGTACAGTTCCGGGAAACTGAGAAGGTTCGTTTTACCTTCTTCGCACACAGTGTAGAGTGTGACATCATGCTATCCACAGTGTTCTGTAAACGAGCTGATGAATGTACAGTCCAAGCCTATGTTCTCACAGCCACAAAAAGCAAAACACGACCAAGGTCTGCCTCTTGTATTGTAAACTCAGCAGGAACAGAAACCTACCACACTGGTTCTCTAGGTACAGAGAGAGAGTGAGTGTGCACACGAGTGCACGTGTTCATGCATGCATGCGCACAGGTGCAACCCTTGCCTCTGACACCTGCCAAGAGAGACTTCGGGCTCAAGGTGAAACAAGTTAAGAAGAGTAGCTGTGAGCACAACGACTTTATTAGAAACAGGTCAGACTATGTATTTTTAATGAACTGCTTTTCATCCCATTCAGCCATAGTATTTCATTTTAATTATTATAAAAACTATTTTTGAAGAAAAACCTTTGGAATAGGCATCTCCTTCACATGATACAAAAATGTAGAAGGACAGAAGGTGTGCCCTGACGAGTGTGGCCCGGGAGGCCGGGCGCCGTTCCGCGCGGGGAGAGGCCTCCGGTTCCGTTCCCGGTCAGGGCCTGTGCCTGGGTGGCGGGTTCAGTCCCCAGTCGCAGCGCATGCAAGAGGCAACCAGTGGATGTTTCTCGCTTACATCAACGTTTCTCTCCCTCTCCTTCTCCCTCCCTTCCCCTCTCTCTAAAAATAAGTAAAATGTTTAAAAAACGTTTTAAAAAATAAAAGCACAGGTTATACAGGGAGGTGACTTTCCCATTCCGGTCCCCTAGCAACCCAGTTCCTTTCCCCAAAGGTGTGTAATCTAGTGTCTTGTTTATACTTCCATAGATATTCTACGAAGGCCAGCAAATGCATCTAATTTTTCCCTTTATATTTAACCAGACCCCCACAGATGGATCTATGTGTCAGCCTTTAATCTTTAGCTAAACCGTGTTGCAATGCAGTTATATCATGACATATATAAAAATGTATCTACAAATTCCCACAAGTATGTATTTATTTTAAAACAGAGTAAGATGCATACTAGTTATTAATGTACTGAAAGTGTTAAAAATGCTTATATTTATTTAGACAAGATACTTTAGTAACGACAAGTTGCAGGAGATGCCAAAGTTGCCGAGGAGAGAGATCTGTGGACAGGCTGGGAAGGAAGTGGGAGATGTGGCAACCCTATCCAGGAGGCTTATCAGGACATGCTGTAGGTAGATAGTTTTTAAAAGGAGTCTCAAACTAAGGGTTTGTGGCATAAGCATAGTAGAATTTCTGATAAAAATCTCACCTCTGCAGCAAAAATATTCTCTACAGAAAACTGTTGAGAATGTGAGACTGTTCACATTGGAGAACATACTTCCATGTCCCAAGTAACAACTATAGCCCCTCAATCACGCTTTCAAGGACTAATCCCTACTGGAAATGCACAACACGCGGGGCTGTGCTGCCGCAACGTTTGGAAAAGGCCCATCGGGCAAGCCCACCAGGGGTATTCAGATAGCGTTTGTGTCCCTAAATCCTGAAAATCTAATTTTTACCCTGAGACTGAGCATTTCATTCTTCACGAGAGACTGGGGATGAATCACAGAATATAAAACTGGGAAAAGACATTAAATGTCACCCTGATTTATTGGGAGGAAGACGATAGGAAGCAACTTCTAAGCTGAAGGAAACCTCCTGAGAGGTCTAGCCTTGAGAACAGCAGTCCCCAACCTTTTTGGCACCAGAGGCGGGTTTCGTGGAAGACAGTCTTTCCACAGACCAGGGTGGGGAGCAGGTGGTCATTAGAGCAGGGTTTACAGATGGGGAGAAGAGAAGTTGGGGACCCCCGCCAAGGAAACTGGGAGTCCCAATTCCTACTTACGGTCTCACCCAGGGATTCAAAACAGTATTTACTGAGTACTGAGTATGTGACAGGCACTTTGTATGTTCTCTAATTTGATCTTCCTAACAACCGCGGAGCATTATCACCCCCACATGGCAGACACTTGGCCGACACTGAAGCTCAAAGAGGTGGAGTGCATTTCCTGAAGCCCCCACGGTGGCGAGGAGGGAGCCGGAGTTGAGATGCTGGCCTGCCTTCAGGCCCATCCTCCCTTCATTTTCTACATATGCTCCATTTTGTCTTCCACTGAGAGAAACGGCATTTTTTCTAGGCTGTTTTGGGGGATAACACTTGAAAGAGACTCATGCCACCAGCATCAAGATCTTGCGCCCACAGGCCCAAGGAATCTACTCACAGGCTCTGCAAAAGCATTGTCCCACAGCACGGTGGCCGTTGCGTTGTTGTCCTGGCTGCCGTGGACGATCACCACCACCGGGAGGGACAGGGTCTGCAAAGACATGGAGCAAGGGCTGAGCACCCACAAGCGGCATGTTCTTCCCCGTCTCTTTTTGTTTTGATCCCAGCATGTTCATTCTTTCCTCAAGTTTCAATAAATGTCACCCTTGGACACAGAATGTGCATGGCTCCAGGAATAATACGACTTTTCTACACTGGCACAATCTTAGACATTTGGGATATAAGAAGAGAGGTTTTATTAGCTATTTCTGAAGGATGGAGTAAGTTCTCTAAGTAACATGGAGAACAAGAGAGAGAAAAGAGAGTATGGAGACACTTCCAGGAAGAAACAAATAAACAAGTGACAAATGTCTAAAACTTCCTGCAACTGTTACTCAGATTCATCGCGAGGGATGTTTCTCCTCATTCATTTTTCTACCTATACTTCCAGCTATTTCAGTTCATTATTGTTTGTTCACTAACAGAATCTAAAAGACACAGTTCTAAGGCTGAGGTCTCCTCACTTTCTGTTCTCAATAACCAAAGAGGGTACTATGTGATCAAAACAATTCTGTGATATACAGTCCTCACACGCTCGTTCACACACACGCTCGTTCACGCATACTGCTGTGGGCTTTACCTTCACTTGAAAAACCAGCTCATTTCCACCAACACTGAATTGTGATTCAAACAGGATTGTAAATTTTTCTTCTGTCACTGACTCTGCTCCACGGCGATCAGACCTCTTAATTCGTTTCAGGGACTGCAAAGGAGAACATTAAGGTGACAAAGCCCTCAGACAACTGGGGGCAATTGGTCCTTCCTCTTCCTCCATCCTCACCATGTTTCTGAAGTGGGCGCTGAGCGTGCCGGTGGCCTGGTGATACTCCATCACGCAGCAGTTGTTCAAGATCTCTCCACTGTAATCACTGCAAATCACAGAGAGATGCATCTCTAAACCCACACGGGGTCTCAGCCCACGTGGGCAGAAATATGCTTGGGGTAGCAGGAAATTCAGAAGGCATTTAAAGACTTATGTCATTTGGAGGAAATATTAGCTCTATAAAGCATACAAAAAATAAATATACATAAAATACACAAAAAGTTCCTTGAACATATTCCTACAAAGTAAAACATAATCACACGATCTTCACTAACTTCACGGTAGATACGTCTTCTATTCTTTCTCTAAGAGCCAGAAGAGGCCAGAAGGGCTAACAGGATTCCCACACAAGGCTGCTGAGCCAGAAGCTTCCTAAGAGGATCAGGTCTACCTACTGCGAGGACTCGAGGAAAGGGGCAGGCATGAGGGACAGGCGTACTTGCGGGTGTTCTCGTTCTTCAGCAGCGACTTGGCCTGCTGCTCGCTGATGATGGTGGCCTTCACCTGGGGGGGGTTCATGTGCACGTTCAGCTTCCCACCCACCAGCAGCCGCACCGTGGCTGCAAACTTGGTCTGGGTCTTCAGGACCTGAGGGGGCTGCTTCTCAATGATGAATGTGCTGCAGGGACACAAGAGATGCCGCCTCAGGGGACAGGGCTCAGGTCCCCCCATGAGGGGCGGATGCCCTGCACAGGGCTCCGCAGGCAACGGGACGGCACGTGGCAGAGACCTGTCCCCAGGGAGGCCGCTGAGAGTCGGGGGGATGGCGACACGGGAGGCAGGGAAATGAACCGGGCGGCGGGCACGGGCTGCAGGACCCAAGGGCAGCGCGGGTGGCGCTCGCAGGAGAAGCCGGGAAAGGGCAACACCACGCACGCACAGCAGCGGGGACAGAGGAGACGGGGCCGGGGGTGGGTGAGGCGGACAGAGACACGGACTCAGGCAACAGCCGCCCCCTGCAAAGCACCCCTGCCTCCCCATGCCCGCCACAGGCGGGCTGGGCGTGGCCGAGGGGCAGCAGTCACCTGGTCACCAGGGCTGAGATGATGTCTGTGATGGTGGCGTTGACCTCGGCCAGCATCTCCTCCGCGGGGCCGGGGATGGGCAGCTGCTGGCAGAGGTGCTCGGCTCTGCGGATCTGCTGCCGGTTCTGCCAGATGATCTCGGCTAACTTCTCACACCTGCCCACGGCCCGAGGCCAAAGGGAAGGACAACGGCTTCACCGGGTCCGAAGACAGAGCTGGAAAAGCTTCCAGCCCGGGGCCAGCCCCCTGAGGTCCAGCTGCACCCGCACCCACCTGCACCCAGGGAGTCAGGATGCCTAGACTCCCCTCCCGCCCACTGAGCGGAGCAAAGCCGCCCTGCCTTCTGGAAACACAGGGAGACACGCAGGACACGGACCCAACGAGCCCGAGCATCACTGTGCACCCCCGGCCCTGCTCCACTCCCCAAAACAGTGACTCCCGCCCCAGGGGGGGGCCCTGACTAGGGGCACCACGGTCTGTGTCAGGAGCCAAAACCACTGGCGAAATAAGACCTGTCACAGGACGGAGCAAGCCGCCCACACAGGAAACACAGGTGCAGAATAAGCGGCTAGAGGCTCCATCGGAGCCCCCGCCCACCGCTCCCTCCCTGCGCCTGCCCGCGTCCCCCCACCCCGCCCCCCGCGCCCCGTCGCCCTTCGCCCCCGCCTCCGCGCCCAGTACCAGGACTGCAGCACGTCCAGGCTGCCCTCAGGGGGCCCTCCGTTCCCCGCCAGCTGCTGCCGCCGCTTCCACTGGATCAGCTCGTCATCCAGAATGATGGTCTGCTGCTTCCGCAGCAGCTGCAGCGTCTTCTGGTGCTTCTCGGCCAGCTCCTGGGAGAGGGCACAGCAGGCCCTTCTGGGCTCCCGCGGGACCACCCCGCAGGGACGCACGCGGCAGCGGGGCCCCCTCCCCCCACCTGCTCTGCCTCTCAGGCCCCCATAGGCTGCCTGCTCCCCTGGGTCTCTTCCTGGCTCTACCCCTCTCTCAGGTCCCCCGACGGCTCAGGACGTGCACCCGGTGCCTGGAGGAGGAGGACGAGGACCCCACTCACCCCGCGGTACTGCTGCAGCGTCTGGGCTTCTCGCTGCAGCCAGGCCTCCAGGGACACCTGCTTCTGCTGCAGGGCCGTCTCCCGGCTCAGGCGCTCCGGGGGGCTCAGCTGGGCCAGCTGGGCAAACTGAGCTAGAGGAGGGGACGGCACGGCCTTGACCACCACCTCCCAGCTGCCAGCACGCGAGGCCCTCGCGCTGACACGTCTGACCACTGGCGGTCCAGGGCTCTGGCAGCCAAGGGCCCCAGAGGCGAGCCGGCTCCACTCCCTGGCCCCCCAACTCTGAGCTCCCCTCAGACACTGGGGAGACGGAAGCTTGGGTGCCAGCCAGGGGGCTCCCACTACCCGGGTCCGCTCAGCTCCCTGTCCAGCCTTCCTCACGCCACACTGCGGTCCGGCTCGGAGCCACACTGCCCGGATTGAAGTCGGCTGGGTGGCCGGGTGGACTCGGGAAAATCACTCCTCCCTCCTGTGCCTCGGTCTCCCTTGCGCGAAACGGGAGAATCCTGTTCCCGGGCTCAGGGGTGGCCATGGGGATTACAAAGTGATGATGCAGGAGAGGCTCAAGGGGCGGCCGGGCCCGGGGGAGCCCTTGGTAGAGTCAGCCCCTGTGGACCAACGGGCTCAGGACAGGGTGCCAGGGTGACGGACACAAGCAGCTCCCAGCCCCAACCTCACCCGCGAAGCCACACCCGCTGCACAGCTTTGCCTTGTCAAGTTCCTGGCAGGCCTCTGGGGGCCACGTCTCGCTGACCTAGGCCTGCCCCCCACCCCCTGTCGCACATGCTCCGACAGGCCGAAGCTACTCCGCACAACCAGGAGGAGCCAGGGCCAGAGGAGGATTCAGAAACGCAGATCCAGTCTCCAGGTGCAGGGGCCTCAGCAGGGGAAGCCTCGTCCAGCGGGGACACAGCGGAGCGGCCTGATGGCCACCTGAGGAATCCTGCCACCCCCAGGGAGGTGGTCGTGTCCCCCGCACCTGTGTGCAGCCTTCCTGTGCAAGTGACCCAGTGAGCTTTCTCCTGGCAAGTTGCAGAACTTTCTGGGAAGGACGCCAGGGTATGTGGGGCAACCGTCTGCTCCGCTGGAGGCAGCTGGGCCTCCCCTGCACAAACAGATCGATGGTCTGCGTTTCTGATGGGGGAGGCGGTAACTGGCACTGAGTGGACATTGCACGATGGGCACAAACCCAAACCAGAACCCAAACTCGAACCCATGCAGACGAAAGGGAAAACCCAAGAACAGGATCGTAAGGACCGTCCACCGGTCCAAGCCCTTGGAGGAACTGAGCCTGAGTCCCCGTTCCCTAAGACGGGGCCAGTCTGGACTCATCCCACCGACATTTACTCGGCGCCCGCGTGGCCCGGCATGTGCTGGCCTCCGGGGACAGACAACGCGGACGGGGCGGGGGGCGGGGGAGCGCAGGGGCCACATGGACAGGGAATCCTAAAAAAATTACATATAAAAACCCGAAAGAGAGCTGAGATGGAACAAAACTGGAAGTAAACACTAAACAAGAGACCTCAATACCACTATATTAATACTGCATTAAATGTTAATGGACTGAGTGGCTTGATTAGCAGCAAAGATTGTCGGAATAAATAAAAAAGAAGACAACTATATGCTGTCTACATTTTAAATGAAAAAAGCCCGATAAAGATATGCTGAGCGAATGTAGAACAAGACGACTAGGGGAGTTATATGAATATCTGAGAAAGTAGACTTCCAGACAAAGAGTCTTACCTGAGGTCAAGAAAGATATTTCATAATTATTAAAGTATCAGTCAATCAGAAACACAATGATCATAAATGTATATGAATCTCTTAACAATGCTTTGAAATACGTACAGGAAATATTTATGGAAATAACTGGAAAAGCACACATTTCCACACAATTATAGGAGATTTGGATGCCTCGCTTTCAGCACCTCATGGAACCAAAGATATTGGCCAAAAAAAATTTAAAAAACACAGTGACCAGCGGTTCTCTACGTGTGGACCAGGGATGCCTGGAGGGGCCCAGCAGCCTTACAGGAGGCTCACAAAGCCAAACTGTTTTCAAAAGTGCGAAGACTTTGCCTTTGCCTCTTTTAATCTCTCATCACTATACACTGGGATTTTCTAGGGGCTGCGAGCTATGTGATACTACAACAATTGACAGCAAGACCTGGCTGGCTCCCAGTCGCCCTAACATTGAAGAGGTTTGCAGAAACAGAAAGCGATGCCACAGTCCCCACTAACCTTGGGTTTGGAAAGTAGAGATGTTAGTTTTTTGTTTTTACTTTTTTTGGTAAAATGTCATGATGTTAACATAAGAAATATATAAATGTTTATAGTATGTTTGATATCATAGAAGTAGAGTATATATGATTATGGTTATATTAGATAAATCATGCATAATATAGAATATTCGATAGATATCTAAAACATATTTAGGTATATTAACCCTGTATTTCAAATATATTTAAAAATAAATATTATTGTTCCATTTCTTAACACTATTGGATTTATTATTGCTGCGTTTTACTGAAACGTTGTAGAAAATACATTCTTTTCAAGTCCACCAGATACATTCACCAAGACTGAACACTTGTTGGGCCATAAAACAAGTCTCGGTAACTTTAAAAGAACTGAGATCACAGGGAACATGTTTTCTGACAACAGAATTCAATGATGGAATGAAATGAAATCAATAATGATAGGACAGCCCGAAAAAACAAATTTTGGAAAGTAACGATATACTTCTAAATGCCTGGGTCAAAGTACCAGAAGAGAAATCAGAAAGTACTTCAAGCTGAATGATAATGAATACACCGCATATGCAAATCCGCGAGAGACAGCTAAAACACTGCTTAGCCAGAAATTTATGGCTCTGAATACATATATTAGACAAGGAGAAAGGTCTAAAATCAGTGAGCTAAGATTCCACGTGAAGAAGCAAGAAAAGAGGAGCAGAGGAACCTCATCGTCCAAGCTCCCTGGGCTGGGCCGGCACAGCCCCGATTCCACTCGGAGTTGGGGAAAGACGGGCCCTGTTTCAGGACCCCTCACACGGCGCCCGGGGCGCGCGCCCCTGAGCCCATCGTCCTTTCCCCACGCCCCTTTCATGGCCGCCACTCTCAAACTTCAGCCCTGGGAGGCAGGAGGAGCGCCCCTGCCACCTGCTCCCCCCAGCTCCGTCTCCTGGGACGGAGCCAGAACGAGGCCTCCCGCGGCGCCACCTCTCCCCAGCCGGGCTGCCCCTCGGGACGCCCTCCCGGAATGCTCCCTCTCGGGGGACGCTCTGCCCTCGGTCAGTCATTCACTCACTCACTCACTCACTCCTTGACATAGTCCCTTGAACACCCACAACTAGGGAGAGAATATTAGTTAGCAAAGTACAGGGATTTCACGACACCTCTCTGCAACTTACAAGCAACCCAGGCCGAGTGACCTGTTCCCTTTGAGCCTCAGTGGGACCATCTGCACTAGGGACGATGCAACCGCCTGCGTCCCGAACTGTTGTAAAGGTTGAATGGAGTCACGCCTGCCAAGGGGCGGCCGCAGCAGCGGGCCGGCTCCTGGAGCCACTCCTCCTCCCGGGCTTCTGGGGAGACTCCCCAGACACCGACAGGCCCAGCCCCGGCCCTGCGGGAGCGCACGGGGGGGGGTCCGCACGCCCGTCCTCGCCCCGCGCCCCGCCCACGCTGCAGCAGCCTCACCCTGGATCCTCAGGCTCTCTTGGTACTGGATGATGAAAAACTCCTGCGCCTGCTGCAGCTTCTTCAGTTCGTTCTCCGTGTCCTGCGTGACCAGCCGCAGCTCCTCAAACGTCTGGTTGATCTGGAGGTGCTTCTGGGACACGGCGTCGACCAGCGTCCCAGCAGGAGAGGTGCCCTGAGACAGAGGAGAAGTGCAGGCAGCGGTGAGCGGGGCCTGAGGACGGGAGAGCCTTGGCCCTTGGGGAGCGCCAACACGACAGGCCCCAAGCTCCAAATCTAGAGCAAGAAGGGAGGGCAACTCGAGTCGAAGGGCGTCATCGTCACAGCTGGGGTGGAGGCGGCACAGGAGGAGGAGGAACGTGGGAGCTGGCAGGCTGCGGCGTCCTCATAAAGCACAGCAGAAACTTCTGCGGCCGCTCTGGCCTCCACCAGAGCGTCCCAGACACGGTCCATCTGAACGCTCCTGGGAGAGACTAGAACTCAGCACATCCCACGAGTTCCTCCTCCTCCTCCTGGAATCATCGTCATCACACCTGAGACGGGCCCCCATCCGCGCTCGTCCCCTGATCCAATGCCAGGGGCAAGGCCGGGCGCACACATGTCGTCTCTGCCCTCTCTCGAGCCCTACCTGGGACTGAGGCAGGAGGGAATAAGGTGAGCCTCTCAGCCGGGGTGTCCCGAAGACCCCGAGGTGATGTCGCCAGGGACAGGGGATGCATTGGCAAGGGCTTTGGCCCAGACATTTAAGTGGCCTGGCCTGGTCTTTTTCGCAACCAAGTCTTCGGGGCCTTTGCAATGAACCGTTCTCAGGAGAAATTCCAAGCTGCCTCCCTCAGCCACCGCCAAGTCCCCAAGGCCTAGAACACCAGGGGCCGGGAGAAGGAACGCTTCCCGCCCCCACCCTCTGACCGTGACAACACCTGCACCCCACGCACGCATTTCTTCAGTGGGGCCAAATCCATTGCCACGTTCACAGGTAGCTCTGTGGCCATCGCAGGTCGAGGGACACAAGGGTGGTCCTGGAAGACCCCCTGTGACCTGGCTTCCCCCGCTGGCCTCCCCCTCCCTCCCCACCGGCAGGACGCCCCGCTGGCTTTCTTCTTTCGTGCTGCACCGATGCTCGGTGCTCGCAAGTCCTCCCCGACTTGTGTCGCCGAGAGGGCTCCGGCCCTCTGCCCTCCAGTCACTGCGGCTGCTTTAGACTAAAGACGCCCCCCCGCCCCCCGCTGCTTTCCCCACTGTGCGCCAGACCTCCCGTCCCTCCGGCCGCCCCCGCCCCGCCAGCCTGCGCAGCCTGAGTGGGCGCTTGTCCCACGCACGCCCCCGAGCGCCCAGCTCACCGCTGGAGAACCTGTCATCGCCTGAGTGGCTGACAGGCGCGCACCAGGACTGCGTGTCCCTCAGCCTGCGTAGCCCGGGGACAGACACGCCCCAGGGCCTCTAGAAACGTGTCCTGAATGAACTGCACCGCTCCCGACATCAGCAGGCCCAGCTGCCAAGGAATAACTAACAGGACCCGGGCGCTGCGCACGGGCCGCTGGTCTCTACCCGTGGGATGTCCTTTATGAAGTTCCCTTTGCTTTACTGCAGATCCTGCAGGGTGTGCGCCACGCTCCGCGCCTCTGGGATTCCAGAGCCTGGGGCGCGAGCCCCCCTTCCGCCCCCCTGGGCCTCTCCGCCCTCAGCCCGCCCGCGTTCGCGCCTCTGACACGGGCCGCCCCAGACGCTGCCTCCCATCCACTGCTTCTCATCGAGTCGCACCGACCCGACTCAGTGAACGACAAACATTTCCCCTGGCGGCTTGTAAAGCCTTCCCCGGCGTGGTCTGCGTTTCCAGGTGCGTGTGAGTGGGGGCTGTGTGTTTAGGCTCCCTCTGCTGTCTCACCGATCGATCGATCGCGTGTCTCTCCCTGGCCCACACGACCGTCCTGCAGGGCAGGGGCTAGGGCGGCCCCTACTTCCCACCGCGGAGACACAGGCTCGAGACGTTCTGGCGCTCGCTCACGTTACACGGCCGGCAAGCGGTCGAGCCAGGGACGGAAGCCGGGGGTCTCTACACCTGCAGCGAACACTGCGCCTCACGCGGGCTCCTGCCTCTCGTTTCTGCGGTGCTTTCTCACGCCAGTGTTTATAAACCACAGTTGCGCCTGGAGAGAAGGGACTTCCCAACCCCTCTCCCTGCCCCGTGGGACACTCACGTTGTTGGCTTCGCGGACCAGCCTCTGTTCGTTGTAGAGAATGTGCCGGATGCAGCGGACCAGATCCATGGGGCAGCGGTCATACGTGTTCTGAAAGAACCCGAGAGCAGCGGCCAGTGGCCACCCTCGGCGCCCACCGTGCCCGCCGCGGGGCCACGCCCACACCTTCCTCTCCCCCCGGCCCCGCCTCGCTTTCCCCCGAAGCCTCGGCCACTCTCAGGCCAGACGCCTCTCTCGCGCCCTGACTCGATTTCCCCTCCCACATCTTCACTGGCTTTGCAGTGCCTTAGAAAACCACAGTTTACAAAGCACTTCCAATAGACCACCTCCTGTGACACAGAAACCCTGTGCCATCCCCGCAGAAATGACTATCCCCGTTTCAAAGGTGAGAAAACTGGCGCTCAGAGAGCGCGAGTACTTGTCCAGAGACGAGCCAGTGCGTGAGCAGATGACTCAAGACTCAGCGCCTGACGCCCAGGTCACGGTGCTTTCCTCAGGGCTCCCGCTCTGGGTGCCTAGGCCGCCTCCCTCTCCACCCCAGGTTTCTCCCGCCTCCTCCCTCTCCTGGGGCGGGCTCTTCGTTCTCCTGGCACCTGCTGCTTGTACCGAAGAATGGTGCCCTGAGAGACACTCGTGGCTCTAGTAAGTGCTTCACGAGGGTCACCGCACACACCCCTTTCCTGCTTCCACACAAACCTCCTCTCTCCCCGACACCCCCCACCCTCCACTCCCTGGGAAGCAGCAGCTACATCTTACATCTAAACCCAGCTCAAGGCTTCGCCTCCAGGTCAACTCTGTCCCCTCCTGCCCCACTCCAAGAGCTCGCCCACCTTTGAAAGAGCCCCAACGCGCACGTCTGGCTGCCTCATCCCCCCAGTTCTAGAACCTGGCGGCCTTCCGAGACTCCGTCTGCCTCCATCCCTTCTGCCGGGCCCGGCCGGGAGCCCGTTTCAGGCACCCCCTTGCCTCGGGAACAAGCCCGTGCCACCCCTTGCTTTGTAACGGGCCGAAGGAATCCAAGGGGTCTGACGGAGAGAGAGGGGGCGGGGGAAATCGAAGCGCCGAAAAGTTGCCGAGAAGCTCGGGGTCACGCGGTGAGTCAGTGGCCAGGCCAGGAAAAACCCCGGGCTTCTGGTGCTGGAAAGAGAAGGCGGCCGCTGCTTCCCTGCAGACGGCCCAGCCTTCGCACCCACCTGGAGCTGCGTGGCATAGTGCCCCAGCTTGATCTTCAGCAGGAACCCGTCTTCCCCCACCTGGTGCTCGGCCTTCTTCTGCAGCTCCTGCACCAGGCCCTCCAGGAGCTGGGTGGCCTTAATGTTCTCCTGTGGATTATCAATATCTATTGAGTCCCTAGGGGAAAAAAATTACATACATATGTATACATACATGCACATGAGCCTATATAAATGCATCCTCAACACATCACTCCTGTTACTTTGCTGAAGTGATTTCTATAGAACACTCACTGCAAATATTAGGAGATTTCCATTCAAACTGACTAATTGCCTACGTCAACCCATTCCTAATACACTAGCTATCTCAGTGCACTGTATAGTAGCTTGTTTTCTTTTTTACAATGCTCTGTCCTTTCTCCTTCCTCCTACGACTTGCTCTGGTGCTTATGCTATCTGCTGGGAAAGAAGGGAAAGGGAAAGTGGTTTGTGGACACTGAAGGAAATAAGGACTCTGATAATTTCCTATTTTTAGTTCCCCCTTCAAGGGTGTCAGGGGCACAAGCTTAAAAACGTTCTACATTTTTTTCCCCACCCTCGACAATGTTTCTAATTCACATAAAGCATTTCTTAAGACAGGTGAAACAACATTTATTGTTATTTCTAAGAAGCCTGTTTTAGAATATTCTCAGAAGTATTTACCTAAGATGAAGATTTGGGACCTGCGGGCAACAGAGAAGCCATTCTATGGACTTTGTGTTAATTCAGAGCCATGTAACTGGTGACAGGGTTTGGATGGTCAGTCCTTCCTTCCTTCCTTGCTCCGTCCCTCCCGCTCTCCCCTATTCTCAACCCCCTTCACTGACTCTTTGTGTTTTTTAAAACAACTTAGGCAACAATTATCTATTTGGTGGCACTAAATTAGTCAGAACAGCTCTTAGACTGAAATAACATTCAATTACTGCAGCGCAGGTCTGAAGCCAACAAGAGAGCTGGTGGTGGCTAAGAAGTGTTATCATCTCACCCTGGCGGGTGGCTCAGTTAGTTAGAGCGCCAGCCCATACGCCAATAGGTTGTGGGTTCAATCCCCAGTCAGGGTACATGCTTAGGTTACAAGTTCGATTCCCAGTTGGGGCGTGTATGGGAGGCAATGATCAATGTCTCTCTCTCACATCAATGTTTCTCTTTCTCCCCCCACCCCCGCCTAAAAATCAATAAACATACCCTTGGATTAAAAAAAGGTGCTGGTATCTCTAACCCCATGGAGAAGTTAGCAACTAATTTCAAACTGAGACACAAACAGGTGTACCTGAACACTGATAATGGACTTCCCCAAATAACATGCTCAAATCTGCACTTGGAGAAGGCAGTAGAGAAAGCCAAATTCTAAATGTGTACACTCTATGGACTAAATAAAATATATGTTAAATATAAGCCTGGAAGAAATGCCTGACAGCCCTGCATGGCCCAGTTCCGACTGGCAATAACGCTGCTGGTCTGAGGAAGCCATTCTTGAGAAGATCCAGTCTCAGAGCAAAACTCATGGAAACCAAGTACTGGTTCTTGCACTTAATTCTCAGCCAAAAATAAATAAATACGTTTTTCTTAGCAGAAACATAAAGAACTGAAGAATTTTATTGAAATCTTTATATTTTTGCCCTGACTGGTGTTGCTCAGTTAGTTGGGCATTGTCCTGCAAAGCAAAATGTCGCCGTTCAATTCTCAGTCAGGGCGTGTGTCTGGTTGCAGGTTTGGTCCCTGGTCAGGCACTAGCGAGAGGCAATTGATTGATGTTTCTCTCTCACACATTGATGTTTCTCTCCTTCTCTCTGTCCCTCCCATCTCCTCTAAGATAAACAAAACCTTTAAAATCTTTATAATCTTAAGAAAACCAAAACTAAGGAAAATTCTAGGCTTTGGGGGGTGATCACTTCGTAAATTAAATAAATGTCTAATTACTACGTTGTACAGCTGAAACTAATACAACATCGTATGTCACTGTAATTAAAAAATTTTTTTTAAATGAAATAAAATTCAGATTTCCCTTCAGAGCAACACAAGTCTTTTAACATTTGTTCAGTGAGAAAACATGGGCCCTGACCGGAGTGGCTCGGTTGGCTGGGCAACGTCCTGCAAAGTGAAAGGTCGCTGGTTTGGAGAGGCAACTGATTGATGTTTCTCTCTCCCATCAATGTTTCTCTCCCTCTCTTTCTCCCTTCCTTCCCCTCTTTCTAAAAATAAATAAATAAAATCTTTTTAAAAATAAAATAAAAGAAGACAACATGGGACATCTACTAAGTGAAATTTTAAATCAACAGAAACCTTCTATTAATGTGTTTCTGAACTCTCCAAATTGTTAAAACAGAAAAGGAAATGGAAAAGCACGAAGCAAGGTGCCACTGACACGCTCACAGTTAGCTCTCTTTTTTCTTACTTAATTACATGACGCTGAGATTTTTTTTTTTTTTAATTGCTGAGAAAATTGCCTTCCTGGTGCTCTCTAGTTTCTGGAGAGAAATCTGCTCCTAACACACAAGTGCAGTTATTCCAAGACAACGTTACTGCCGGTACACAGCCCTCTTCAGACAGCAGCATGGCGGCTGCCCCCGCCCCCAGGTTCGGTTAGAGAGGACACTCTGCCACCACGGCGGGGGCCTGAAGTACAGGATGGATATGTCAGGTCAGACTGACAGCCTGGCAGCCAATCCACGCGCCCCAGGCCCTGAGCAGAGCAGTGGGCAGCCTGCTACCTGGGGTGCAATAATGTCCGTTAAAACGCTTTGTTATCAGCTTACTGCACTGTACTGACTCTAAGAGTTTTAAAACAATTTCTCCCCGAATACATAAAGGTAATTTGGAAAATAAGAAAAATAAACATGCTAGTTAAATCTGCCACCAAGATATTACTGTTAATATTTTGGTGTATCGCCTTTTAGTCCTTAATGTATATATATAAATTACACATGAACTTAAAAACACTAATGTCTCCATTGTTAGATTTGTTAAGAATACATTAAATTATGTGACTAGACATACCTGATCTCTCCACTCAGCACTAAATTCTATGTGGACAAAGGTTTTAATTTTTTCCATAGGAACTCTACTACCTATGACTCTGCCAGGCACCTATAGGCGCTCAAAACACATTTATTAATTGTTTTTTATTAGCTGCAATGTGCAAATGTTTTTAGCCAAAACCTGCTATTAAAGGGAAGATAGCCTATTTTAAAAATCCCAAAAGTCATTCCATCTGCCTAAAATCCCAGATGAGGCTAAATACCTTTTTGTGGGTCACGGTTTTTTTTTTTTAATGTATAAGTTTTAGAGTTTCCATCATGTTCTCTCTCCAAACTTCAATATGCTTGTGCTTCACAACATATGATGGAGAAAACTTTGCTCACTTACCAAGCTTGGCTTTCGATCCACTGGGATAAGTAATGGCGCACCTCGATGGGGAAATGCTGGCCGTACAGGGCTTGCATCTGATGGAGGGCATCTCCCTGCAGCTGCTGGGCCTGGATCCACACCGCCATGTTTATGATCTGCTAAACAAACAATCAACGGTTTGGGTGGGTTTTTTTTTTTTCCTTCCCCTTTTGAATCTACCAGAGCAAATATTCATGCAGTTATAAAAGCTAAAGAAAAATGCTTTTTCATCCCTTTTTGGTAGACTGAAGATCAGGGTTCTTGAACTGAATTTTGGCTTTAAAATGTTTTATAAATGTAGATTTTCGGTGTGGCCATGGAAAGCTACGTAACTGAATCTACAAAGCTCTGACTATAAAATGCACCCAAGTCCTACAAGCGAAGAAAGCACAGGCCTAGCATTAGGGGGAGAACTGCCTAGAGCTGTGATATCACAGACATTTTCTTTACTTTTGTTCCAAACTTGAAGCAACTGTAAGCAGCATTTGAACAGTAATGATACATAATTAGCACGGGGAATTTTAAAAATTTACTTGTTTAAGATTTGGTATTTTGACTTAAGAAATATAATAAACAGACTGCCATTTTGGAAAAGACCCAGTAAAAGTAAAAATATCTAAAGCATGAATTGAACCTTATGTATTATCACTAGTTCCCTAAACAACAATGCTTTGCACAAAAAAAGGGCACAGACTGATCTGGAAAAATACCCCAAGGTCCACCTTTTGAGTTATTGCTAAGGAATTTATGAAGTAATGTTCTGTTAAATTATAGGCTTTAAAAATCTGACATAAAAACAATACATTCCAGCTAAGAGTCAGAAACAAGAACCATTATACTCCAACAGTGGGTAGGCATTTAAAATGCTTTTGATTTCAGAAAAATGGTTTTATAAAACTACCAACATGTCTTCCCAGGCCCACCTGAGAATTTTTAATTCATTCGGCAGGAACTCTCCGGGCTTCACCTGAGTGCATATTACTTCAAGTATCCGGAAGGGACTCAAAGTGAACCTTGCTCTAACATTCTGATCCATAATGTGGAATTTGGTAGAAGACCAGGTTATCTTGAATGCCACCCAAAACAAATTGGCTATTGATTTGCACAATTCTTCCAAGAGCTATATTACAGTTAGGGTCCAGTGAATTAGACCTTGATTTTGTCGAATACCAGAAACTACAGGTGTGTGTTAGGAAACAAAAATCTCATCTCTGTTAGTTGTTGTACGATCGCGTAACACTGAGCTATTTATGGGACCAGTAAGTTGGCCAACGGTGAGGTGCGGGGTGGTTGCCAGTTACCTATTTTAGACTTGTGCAGTGCTATAGAACACTTGAGCGGTGGACAGTGTTATTCAGGGCTTTGGGGCAGGGAGGCTGGGATCACTAAGATCACCTCACACATGAGATTTCAATGGCCGAGAGTTTGCTAGGAGAAAGGCTTGGATAAAAGAGCTCTCTCCATGTTATAATAAAACATCCAGAAGACATTTAATTGTACAACATAGTTTTTAATCAAATAAATCATATCTCACAATTTTGGAAACTTGGAACAGATACCAAAGCATGGTTTTTGGATGAAAGGTAAAGGGATGGATGGATGGATGGATGGATGGATGGATGGACGGACGGACGGAGGAAGGTGCTTAGGCATGTACACGAAAGAGTGAATGAAAAAAGAATGAAGGAAAAGCAAGTATTAATTTCTTGTAGGGGTAGGGACGGGAAAGAAGGAAGACATCTCCATAGCTCTCTCAGTGAATATGTGAACAATACCAACAAGTAGAAAAATTATCTTGCATCCTGCATTCATTAACTGAATTGACCCAAGAGATTAAAAAAAGGAAAATTGCAGGAAAACTCTTCTCTCCTTCAATCCACCCAAATAAAATTCTGTTCTGGGCACTATCCTCAGTCTCCTTTATTTTTCTATATGTCATTGGTCCCTTCCTGACATTTATGACGTTTGTTTACTGTTTTCCCATGAGGGTGAAGCCACCACAAACACAGTGACTTTGTTTTGTTCACTGCTCCTTTTCTTGGACCCAGAACAGTGCCTGGTACACAAGCAATCAGTGATTTTGTTGTTGTTGCATAAATAAATGTATACACACAACCTGGTCAAATCCACAAGCTCTTTTTGAAGTTATTATGGAACAAGATAAAAGTATGAAATACCCAGGAAAGAAACTGAAACTGGAATTTTATAATTTGGAGAAGTCTCTATTTACAATGGTCTATTTGTTCCTTAATAACATATAGCACAATTTGTAATTTTTCCTTTTAGTTTTAATTAATTTGTTTTTGCCTATCTTCCCTACTGAACTACTAAGAACAGTAGGTGAAAACAACACATTTTATTCACTGCTTTGTCCCCAGTGCCTAGCACAGTGGCTTGCCATGGTGAGTAGCCAATAATTTTGTTGAGTGATGAGATATATACCAAATATTTGGTAAATATTTCACATGTCCTGCTGGCTACGCATATTCCAGGAGTCTATTATTGTTTAAGAAAGACTATGATAATATGCCATGTATGTAGAGATACTATATAAATGATACACTATTTATTTTGTCTTGTGTTTTACATTAGTTCTTAGTTTTTATCAAAGGGTGGAATGCTGAGCTCTTAGCATTTGTCAGAATATTTTTTATTCTGATAAATAAATATTAACACGTCAGAATAATTATTTTCTAAAATGCCAGTTGAAGAAGAATAGCTGGTAAAAATAAGGTGGTAACCACCTTATTTTGAGAACTACAATATACTTTAATCCCACTACATAAAAGTGCTTTGGTAGAGCTAGAAAGTAGGTTTTGCCTAAAAATAGTCAAAAATATAAAATAAACATGTTAAATAATACAGAATCATTTTTACTTTTTTTAAACGATCTTATTTATTTTTAAAGAGAGGGGAAGGGAAGGAGAAATAGAGGGAGAGAAACATTGATTGGTTGCTCCTCGCACACCCCGCAACTGGGGACCTGACCCACAACCCAGGCATGTGCCCTGACTGGGAATGGAACCAATGACCTTTGGGTCACAGGCCGGCGCTCAATCCACTGAGCCACACTAGCCAGGGCCATTTTTACTTTTTAACTAAAAATTATATACTCGTACACACGGAATATGAGATGACATACTGAGATTATCATGTAACAATTTAAAATATGTGGTTTAGGAGGAAAAAAAACACTCCCTGCCGCCGCCCGCCCCCCCACCCCCCGGCCCCAGCAATGTATCTATAAAACCTAGACTCTAAGCAGTGCTTTTCTTCAAACGCGTCAAAACTCTTCATGCCTCTTATTAGGCCCCATCTACACCTGGTGTAAGCTGAGTCCCCTCCCTTTCTCCCCAGTCTTTCTCCTGCCCTTGAACGAGGCTCCATGGATGCAGCGACTGCACCCCGTCCTCGTCCTCAATACACACGCCCTTCTGTTTGCTGATGGGCAGCTCCCTCTTCGGTGCGTGATGTTCTGACAAGGGAAGTGGTTTGCATCTTTGGTAAATCATCACAGGGGCTTCTCTAAAGACTGGGAAATGGATTCACAATCTTATTTTTAGCCAAAGAGGAGAACTATCAGAGTGTCACTTAGTTGCACTTAGTTTTCGTAAGGGTTCAAACAACCCAAAACAGCTTTGGATGCAAAATGTTGTACTTTCTGTAAGTATAAGGTATCTACATTAGCGTTACTTATCTGGGTATACCTAGGAGCCCCAAATAAAGTGAATCCTCAGGCACTTGTTGAACAAAGGTTTCAAAGTCTAATAGCTCATAATGTTACAGGCTTATTAAAAACCATAAAAATAAATGCCATTAACATAAATTATAAGAGTGGCTGGGATTTAGGGATAATCTTGTTTCAACAATAAATACCTTTTTATTAGATGCTTTCCCTTTTAAAGTAAAATATAAGTCTTTGTAAAGGAAAATATCACTTTCTCTGAAGACTTCTGGAACACAGCGGCCAGAGGCATGCCACAGCGAACCTGTGGGGGCGGAGGGGCATCGAGTAGATGAGAACAGAACGGCCCCAATGCACATGGACAACCGAGAGAATGAATTCTAGCTTCTGGTAGGGGCAGGGGCTTAAAATGTGTGCAGGGATGTGATCTGTTGGATTCATGTGTATAATTTAAAGCATCCTATAAAATCTATCCCCCATCCCATCCCATCCCATCCCATCCCATCCCATCCCATCCCATCCCAGTCTCTAAAATAGGGTTAAAGTTCTGGCCATGTTCGGAAACTCACCCAAATAGAGTTCTGCAAAAGATTTAACCTCTTAAATTAAAAAAAAAAAAAATTTTTTTTAATTTTAGAGAGAAGGGAAGGGAGGGAGGAAGAGAGGGAACGAAACATTGATGTAAGAGAGAAACAGTGACTGGCTACCCTCTGTATGTGCCCCGACTGGGGACTGAACCTGTGATGCAGGCAGTGCCCCATCCAGGAACTGAACTGCCAAACTTTCAGTTTGCAGGATGAAACCCAACCAGCTGAGCCACACGAGCCAGGGCGGATTTAGCCTCTGTGCCTCAGTATCCTTATTTGTAAAATAGGAATAAGAAAACTTCTGTCCCCCAGGGTTGTTATAAAAAATAATTAATATGTGTAGATGCTTAAGACAGTGCTTAGCTCATAATAAGTGCTCAATATTAGTCTTTTACAGTGTCAAACTGGCATAGGTGGTGGCTTCCTTCTCCTCATCTCCAGGTCGAACTTCCTTCTATAAAGTTTACCTTTCCCAAGTCACTCCTCCACAAACAGCTCTTACCGGCCTTGTCCTTAACCAATGCCCTGGTTATTTTCAATCAATTTCCCTGGCACAAAGACTCCCATCGATGAGGAATAATGGAGGGCGACAGGAAGGCACCGGGCGGACTGTGCTCGCCTCGGCCCTGAATGACAGAACTGAGAACCAGACGGGCGGGACGCGGAGAGCGAGGCCGCCCAAAGGACACCAGGTCCTGGCTCAGCATCGTCTGCAGGCTCTGCGACTGTGAGCAAGATGATGTACAATGAGGCCGATTTCACCAAGGCTAACGGATGCACCCAAGAATTAGGTCCCTGTGGGATCTCTCATCCACGTTATAATGAAACAATGTCAGAAGAAATGACC